CTCTCGCGCGCGCGCGCGCGCGGAGACGCGCGCGCGCACGACCGTCGCGCGCGCGTTCAGTCGCCTCGACGCGCGCGTCGGTGCGCGCGAGGACGTCGAACGAAGGCGCATTCGCTCGAGATCGTCGAGGGCGTCGAGGCTCGGATCGAGCGATCGGGTCGAGCGCGCGCGCGCGATGCCGGCGTGCGCGATGGGCGACGCGCACGACGGCGTGGGCGCGTCGTACGCGGGCGTGGAGGGGCGCGTCGGGGTGAAATCGCGAGATGGCGAACGCGCGGGCGGACGGATCGAGGGCGAGATCCGATGGAAGACGCCCGAGCTCGTCGCCGAGGACGCGCGAGAGGGACGACGGGACGTCGAGGGTTTGGAGACGTGCTCGACGAGCGATGATTCGAGGCCGTGCTCGCGCGCGGACGCGGTGAAGAGGGAGATTTCGGGGGGTGGCGGGAAGAATTCTCCGGAATTCGAGCGCGCGTGGACGGCGGCGAGGAAGAGATTCTCCGAGGAAGCGGTGCGCGGAGACGGTGCGCGGATGCGACGAGAGCTCAACGCGATGGGTCAGAGGGAGTTGCAAGCGCTGTTCGTGGAGATGTTCGAAAAGGTGACGACGAGTAACAATAATCAGTGGTTGCGGCGACGCATCTCCGCCGGGCTCGGACTCGACGACCACGCGGAGCAAACGAGCGCGACGTCCGAGCACACCAAGCCAGTGGTCGACGAGCGATCGTCAAAGCGTCAGAGCTCGAGACGAGGCTCGATCGACGCCGCCAGAGCGAGGGTAAAGGTTGAGGAACCATGGCGGGCGACGAAGACGCCGAACTCGGACGACGCCGCGGAATTCACTCCCGACGGCATTCGAAAATCTCGACGTGCCGTTAAGCCGAAGACGATATTTGATTCCGATGCCTTCCCGTCCGCGGCCAAGGTGAGCGAAGAGAAACGGAAGGAACGTAGGAGACGAGAGCTTCAGGAACGGACCGAGATGCTGACGAGTCAAGGCGTCTCAGAGCACCACGGAGGCAAGCTGTGCGTCGGTCGACGCGTACGGGTATACTGGCCGCTTGAGGGAACGTTCTTCGCGGGCGTGGTGAGTTCTTACAACTCGCGCACGGGTTTGCATCACATCAGTTACGACGACGGCGACGAGGAGGAGATTTTGTTGGCGACGCCGGGAGACTCGTCGCCCGCTCGAGCGACAATTTCGATCGAGCATCCGGCGATCGATTCTCCCGAGACGAACTCGAGCGACTGGCCTGCGCTGAAACGATGCCATCCGGACGCGTTCAAGTCGCTGCCTCCGGCGGGGAAGCAGTGGGATCATCCTCGAGGCGTCGGAAATAAGTGGCTCGACGTCGGAAAGTTGGTCTGGGGACGCGTTCGCGGTCATGGTTGGTGGCCGGGACAGGTGCGCGACAAGGACGAGACTCATAACACATACGAGATCAGTTTCTTCGATAACAGCGTCGCTCGAGTCCATGAACAGGATTTACTTTCGTTCTCCATGTTCTACGGCGAACTGGTTCAAGCGAAGAAGACCAAGGCGTACGCCGAGGCGGTTTCTCGAGCGTCCAAGGAATACGAGTCTCATCGACGACAAACGTTGAAGCGACGAACGAAGAAGAACGAGCGAGCGGTCACTCCGGTCGTAACCGAGGAACCTCGCATCTGGCACTTTGAGCGCGAGTCGGCGAGGAAGCCACAAAAGCGCTCAAAACCAGACATCGCCGAAGACGTCGCGATCATCTCTGAGAAGAAGTCCAAACAATTGCCACTCGTAGAGCCGGTAGTCTTCGGGGCTCCTAAAGCGCCGAAGACGCTCAATGACTTGACGAAGAGTCTGGACGCGATCTTGAAGAAGGTCCTTCCCATCGCCCAAGACAGTCTCGAGGTCATCAACAAGCACCTCTCGGACACCGCCGTGGTGAAACCCGAGGACGAAGAGCAATCGTTGATCGCCGCGGACGAGCGTGTCGTCGTGCTCGATGAGCTCGCATCCATCGAATCCCTGATCGCGTGGAGCAAGGAAGGGAAGACAAAGATGCCGCCGCCGTCGACGACGCCAGATTTAGCCTTCATGACCAATGGGTGGAAGTCCGCGAGTGGCAATTTTTCCTCTTCCGATTCAAAGAAACTCCTTCGACAAGCGAGCCAGGAGTTGCTTGGTGGACACCTCGATGCGATCCAGTGGAGTATGGATTTCGCGGATCCGATGGGACTCAACGCAGCTCGCTGCTTCGAAGAAGAAGATGCCCGGGCCACGGCGCCGTCGACTCCTGAGCAGTACGGTGTCGATCACGATGGGGCATACTTCCAAAATACCGTCATCAGCGATTCATGCGCCACCATGCGCACAAATTTCGATGCAGAGAAGCCCACGGTTGCTGGAGCGTCCGCGTAGTCGGGCACTCCGCGCGGAAAATCACACACACAAAAAAGTAATATAGTCTCCGCCAGACGACGTTCCTTCACGTATCGGCGCACGAGCCGCACCCCACCATTTTCGTCAACTTTTTGTCACTTTTAATAACCCGAGAGCAACTGTACATTAAGCTCAACGAAAACGTCCTCACTCTTTGACTCTCAGATTCGCCATGCCCAAAAAGTGGCTCCCGCTCGAGGCGAACCCGGACGTCATGAACGCCTTCGCCCACGAGCTCGGACTCTCTCCTTCTCTCGCCTTTCACGACGTCTACGGTTTCGACGACGATCTCCTGGAGTTCATCCCCGAGCCTTGCGTCGCCGTGTTGATGCTCTTCCCGCTCACGCCGCGAACGGAATCCGTCGCGGGCGTCGACGCGCCCGCTCCCGACGCCGTCTCGAGCGTGTGGTTCGCTCGACAAACCGTCTCCAACGCGTGCGGCACCATGGGGGTGATTCACGCCGCGTTGAACGCGAAGGACGCCGTCGTCCCGGGGAGTCGCCTGGAGTCTCTGCGCGCGGCGTGCGAGGGCTCGGACCCCGACGCGCGCGCGCGTGTGATCGAAAACGACGACGCGTTGGAGGCGGCGCACGTGTGTGCGTCCACGGAAGGGCAGAGCGCGGTGCCGAACGCGGATGAGGTGATCGATCTACACTTCGTGGCGCTCGTCGAGCGGGACGGCGGCGTGTGGGAGCTCGACGGACGAAAGCCGGCGCCGGTGTATCACGGGGCGACGACCGGAAGCGGACTCCTGCGCGACGCGGTGCCGGTGATTCGAAAGTACATGGAGGCCGCGGAGGGGTCGATTCACTTCAACGCCATCGCGCTCGCGGCGAGTCTCGACGCGTAGCGCGCGCGACGCGACGCTCGTCCGCACCGATTGTTCCGATTCAATGGTGATGATTATTTCACCGACGCCAGAGGGGCGCAAAGTCGAGAATACTTGTCGCTATGGAGAGATGAGACGCGCGCGCGATGTCGAGGCGACAGGAGTCCGAGCGAGTGCTACGCGTGGGCGATGGATGCCGCATCGCGTGGGGGTGTTCCGGAGTGGGGGCGCGCCCCGCCAAATGATGGAGCGCGATATAATGCAGACCCCGATGGGCGCGCGTTGGATGTCGTGGTGCTAGATTGCGGCGGCAGCGGCGGCAGCGAGCGACGCGAAGCGTCAGAATCAGAATCAGACGATGACAGCGGCGAGCAAAGTCCCGAGCGCAAACAGCGTCGGCTCGCGATGTCGCGTTCGGCCTCGAGCGCGTCCAATAGTCTCGCTGGGTAATAAGTCAATATATATACAGTGTGTATGCTATGTTTACTAGGCGTCACCATCCCCGCCGTCGCCGTCGTCGTCGTCGTCGTCGTCAATCATCTCGACGCGCTTGTACATTAAAATTTTCTTCTTTGTCCCCGCCGTGAACGCTCGAGCAAACATTTGACCAACTTTCCCAACCGTATCCTCCACCTCACGCGCATTCACCCGCACGTACCCGTACCGTTCATACAACCTCAACGCACGAACATTATCCTCATCGACGTGCAGCGCAATAACCGCAGGTTTCGGTCGCATTTTCCCGCAATACTCGTCGCACGCGCGCAGCAACGCTCGACCGACGCCTCGCCCGCGTCGCTCCGGCTCCACCGCCATGCCGCTCAAATACGCAAAATACGACTGCTCCGTCAACCCTAACGCCAAAGGCACATTCGCCACGATCTTTTCCTTGCTCGCCTTGGCGCCGAACGCGGGAAGCGACGTGACATCGACGCATCCAAAGACGTCGGCGTTCGCGTCGCTCGGAGCCACATCCGCGTCAAGCGCCGTCGCTCGTAACAGCACGAACGCCGCGCCCGACCAGCGGATTTTCGCCACCAGCCCATCGAGCACGGTATTTGTCGTGCTCGGCGCGTCGAACGCGCGCGCGGTCGTGCTCGCCACGACGCGGAGCTGCGTGAGCAACGCGTCGCCATCGCCGGTGACTTGCGTCACCACGCACGACGCTTTATCGTCCTCCACCGTCGCGCGCGCGACGCAAACGGCGCGCGAGCGACGCGCGATGCGCGGTGACGATGATGACGGGGCGTGGCGTCGCGGTGGCGCGCGCGCGCGCGCCGTCGACGCGCGCATGTGGGGCGTCGATGAGTGACGCATGACTGTGCGCTGTGCGGCACAGCTCGCCTCGCTATGCGCGCGCACGCGGCGCCGAGGGCGCGAGCGGTAGATGGTGACGGCGCAGTGAGCGGTGCGCGACGCCATGGGCGCGCTGGGCGGCGTCGAGCGGCGGTTCGTGCGGCGCTCGAGGCTGTTGAAGGTGATGATTTCATGCATTGGTTGAGCTGCGCGTGTAAAGACGACGGAATTGCGTCGCGCGTGCGCGTAAACGGCGCGTGCGCGGTGACGAAGGCGCGAGGGATTGAAGCCGTGCGTCCGCTTGCGCCTGGTGAGGTGATATTTTCGATTCCGTACTCGCTGGTGATGGAAACGAGGTTGGCGTCGGATGCGAGCGAGGCTGACGGTCGAGGCGAAGCGTGGTCGAGCGCGATGGCGATGGATATTCTCGAGCTCAAGCGTGATTGTGACGGTGCTGGGGCGAGTCGACGACGATGGTTGGAAGAACTTCCGTGTCCGGCGCCGAGCACGCCGGCGATGGACTTTAATGAGGAGGAATTGGCGATGATTGAAGACGAGCGCGTGCGAGCCGAAGCGATTCGCGTTCGCACGGCGCACGAACGGGATGTCGTCACATACGCCGATAGGTTGGCGCACATCGGCGCAAGTGCGGATGATTTTAGGGAAGCTCGCAACGTCGTGCACTCGCGAGTCTTCGCGCGAAGAGATGGGGATTGCGTGTCAAAATTGCTCGTACCGGGAGTCGACATGGTGAATCATTCGTCGACGCTCGCGAACGCCATCGTGCGCGTGGTGACGAGTCCCGAGAACTGCCAAGGTCGTGCGGCGACGGAAGAAATCGCCGATGTGTCGTCGAGCTCATCTGCCGCGTGCGATGTCGTTACAGAGGACAAGTATTTCCAGCTCGTCGTCGATCCAGACGGAGAAACGATTGACTGCGGCGACGAAGTGCTCATTTCATACGGTGCCTTCCCGAACGATCCTTTCTTAATGTACTTTGGTTTCGTGCCCGATGACAATCCAAACGATACGGTGATACTATTCGACGACGTCGACGAGCTGTTCGAATTCATCGAACGTGACGAGACGTTGGCGGCGAAGGCACTTCGCATGGACGACGACGCGAAATCTCGAGCTCGAGCGGTGAGCCCATCCGCACTGTCGTGCACAATCGACGCTGTGGATGGCGCATTAATCCAAATCTGTGACGGCATTATTCAAATACCATGGCTCGACGTCGTACGCGCGCGTTGCCGGAATATATTAACCGGCGGCCGATTTTCCACCAAAATCGCCGAAGACGTCGCGCTCGCGCGCTCAAACACACTCTCCCCGAACGCCGCGCTCGCGCTGGCGTTCCGATTGCACAAAAAAGCCATCTTAATCGCCCCGCTCGGGCAATCTCTGGCGCAATACGAACCAACCGCGTAGCGTTTTCATAGCGATAGCTTTTTCATAGCGTTTTCATACAGCACATACAGCCTCGATTCGGTTACGTGCTCTCACACTCCGACGCACGTTGGATCGCCGCCGCGCACTCCGTGACACACGCACGACGCGCACAATTTGTACCGCGCTCGAGCGACTCGGAGTGCCGTAAGTGCGCTTCAGCGCACGCGTGAGCTCGACAATTTGATATTACATCTCTCTCGTCGACACCGCTAGGCTAAGTAGAATGTTCGCAGCGCATCACCGTGCGATACCGTAGAAGAAACGCACGAGATTTCCCCTCACCGTCAGTCGAAGCGCGCGCCCTCGGGCGGCTGCGCGAGTCTCCGAACCTCCGGTCGAGCGATCGCGTGATACACCGCGTTCAACGCGTCCTCGATCGAATTATTCCTTCGCCACGCCTGCGCCACGCCGAGCGCGGCGAGATCAATGCGTCCATCGTTTCGCACGAAGGGCAGGTTCACGCGCGTTCGGAACCGCATCTCCGGCGGTCGCTCCGGGTACCGCTCGCCGCACTCGATGGACAGCTCCAACACGCGCATGTCCAGCGTCGTCCCCGCCGGGCCGAGGATCGTCCCCGTCCAGTGCGTGAGATCATCATCATCGTCTGCGCGCGCGCCGCATCGCGTCGTCCGCCGTCAGTCCTCCCGCGTCGCGTCGCCGCGCGCGCGTTCGAGATCCGCCGCGCGTCGTCAATCACCCCCCACCGCGCCGCCGCGCGCCTTCCCACCCGCGCGCCCGAGTGTCCACGCGCGTCGTCACCCGCGTCGTCGCCCGCGTCCTCGCGCGCACCCGCGTCGGCGAGCCCGTACGAGAGATAGGGTGGAAGCCCCGCGCCGCCCTTCTCCCCCTTCTCCAGCTCCTTTAACAGTTTAAACGCGCGCGGAACGACGACGTCTTCGCCGCCGCCGCCGAACATCGCGCCCGCGTCCTCGCCCGCGCTCGCCTCGCCGCGCGCGCGCGAGACGCCCGCGCGCGCGAGACGCGTCGGCGTGTGCGGTCGCGTCGCTCGGCGTCGGCGGCGTCGCGTCGCGCGCGTCTCGCCGCCGTCGCCGCGCTCGATCGCGCGCGCGCGTCGTCGGTCGCGATCGTTCGTTCGTTGATTCAGTGCGTCGCATCACATCCCGCGTCGCGTCGCGTCGGCGTCGCGTCGTCGTCGTCGCGTCGTCGTCGTCGGCGGCGGCGGCGTCGTCGCCGTCGTCGTCGCGCATCCATCGTCCGTCGTCCCGCCCGTCCCCGCCCGCGTCACCGCGCGCCGTCAAAGTACCGACGGGCGTCCCCGTACGCGACGCCGCACCCCGCGCCGAGCCCGAACGCGCTCACGCCAACGCGCGCGCATCGACCTCGAACGAAAATCATCGCGCTCATCATCCCGCCCAGCGCCCCGTACGTCGCCCCTCGAATCAGCGCGTCCGCGGCGCGCTCGAGCGCGACGTCGTACGTCGTCTCGACGTCCTCGGCGGGCATGAGCGACGCGCGGGCGCGAGTGACGGCACAAATGCGCGCGTCGAGCGATGGGGTGCGTCGTCAGCGCGCCCGTGGACGGGTCCACCCACGCGCGAACGCTCGCGCTCGACCGCGACGGGGGCGCGGGACGACGCGGGACGACGTCGGGGCCCGGGACGCGGGCGCGCGAGATCGAACGCGACGACGGGCGAGGCGACGGGCGCGCGCGGTGTAAATTAGTCCTCCTGGGCGCGAGCGGGTGCGGGAAGACGTCCCTGAGCGCCCGGTTCACGCGCGACGCGCACGCGGCGAACGTCGAGGCCACGGTGGGGGCGGCGTTCGCGTCGCGGACGATCACGGTGCGACGGGGGCGCGATGGGGATGATTCAACGGACGGCGACGGCGCGAACGCGAACGCGAACGCGCTCGGCGAGGTCAAGTTCGAGGTCTGGGACACCGCGGGCGAGGAGCGCTACGCGTCGTTGGCGCCGTTGTATTACCGAGGGGCGAGCGCGGCGATGATCGTGTTCGACGTGACGTCGAGGGAGACGTTGACGCGGGCGCGGTACTGGGCGAACGAGCTCGCGGCGCGGGCGGACGCGCGGTGCGCGACGACGCTCGTGGGGAATAAAATCGACGCCGCGGCGGCGAGGGAGACCACGAGTGAGGAGGCGGATGCGCTCGCGCGCGAATTCGCGATGACGGGGGGGTACGTCGAGACGTCGGCGAAGACGGGCGCGGGCGTGCGCGAGGCGTTTGAAATCCTCGGGCGCGACGCCTTGGCCCGCGCGCGCGACGCCCACGACCGCGCGCGCGATGTCTCTCCCGCGCTCGCGCGCTGAGCGCGCGGGGGCGTCGCGAGGTGTAAAACGGATGCGTCGTCGTCGCGCGTCGTCGTCGCGCCGTCGCGCCCGTCGCGCCCGTCCGCACTCGACGCCATGCCGCGCGTCGACGTCCCACGCCGCGTCCTCGCGTCGCCACCGCGCGCGCGACGGCCTCGACGCCGCACGCGCGGGCGAGCGCGCGCGGGCGACGCGCGTGCGGGGACAAAAGCGCATTCGCCGCCGCCACCGCTTCGAGACGTCGTCTTCGTGCTCTGTCGCCCCGAGGGCGCGATTAACGTCGGCACGGCGTCGCGCGCGATGCACAACTTCGGCGCGAACGACTTACGGCTCGTCGACCCGCGATGCGTGGACGCGGGCGGGAGAATCGACGCCGAGGCGAGAATGTTCGCGGCGCGCGGCCTCGACGCGGTGCTCGAGCGGGACGGACGGACGACGACGACGACGAGCGTCAGCGCGGCGACGATGGACGCCACGCTCGTCGTCGCGACGTGCCCGAGACCGCGAGAGAACGTACCCGTGGTGAGCCTAAGGGAAGGGGCGAGACGGGTGGCGGAGGAGGTGGCGCGCGGCGGACGGGTCGCGGTGTTATTCGGGACGGAGAAGAGCGGATTGTCGAACGACGAGATGGAACACGCCCAGTTCGCGGTGCGTCGATGGATGGAATGTATTTGATTTGAGATTACGACTGACTCTGCGCGTCGTTTCGCGTAGGTGTGCGTGCCCACGGCGGCGAACGTGAACGCGCGCGGGTTCACAAAGTACACGGGGGGCGCGTCCGGCGGCGAGACGGATACGTCGTCCATGTCGCTGAATCTCGGAATGGCGGTCGGTATCGTGGCGTATGAGTTATTCATGGCGATCACGGACGTTCGCGGCGACGAGGTTTCCGTTCGCGGGTTTGCGTCGCACCGAATGACGACGGCGGAGCGAGAGCGACTGATCGACGACGTCGTCGCCGCGCGCCGGGCGCTCGATATCTTCCCGGACGAAGACGACGAAGAGGATCGCATATTCGCAAAGAAAGAGCGGCGCGCGATCACGTCGGTGTTCACCTCGGGCCCGATCCCGACCAAGGACGCGACGCCACTCTTCATGCTCGCTCGACGAGCGAGAGCGTTTTCTGAGCTCGCAAACGCGACCGCCCTCGTCGAGCGCCAAACCCGCACCTTCGTGCGGAACGATCCCAGGAAACCCGTGAGCACGAAAGCTTTGAACGCACACATTCGCGACACGCTCGGTATATCGCTCACCAGGCGCGAGATCGAGCGCGCCATCGAACGCGTCGCCGAAGACGTCTGACCCGCATTGTCCGACTCGCGCGTCATGCCGCACGCCTCAGCCGTTCCGGTGGCGAACAAGCAGGTCTTGCGCATCAAACACCGCGGCCGTGACGTTCACCTCGTCGGGACGATGCACTACAACCCGGTGAGCATAGATCTTTCGTCCAGAGTCGTCAGAGACTTGAGCTCGACGAACGCGCTCGGCGCGTTGGTGTTGGAAACGTGCCCGAAACGCTGGGAAAAGACGCAAAAGTTCCAACCCGCGGGGTCGATGATGCGCGCCGTGTTAGATAATGAGTTTCAGGGCGCGTTCGAGGCGGTTTCGGGCGACGCGGAGATTGTGCTGGGAGATCAGGCGATCGGCGACCTCGGGTCGAACCTCAAGACGCTCGCGAGGGAGACGATGGTGGATACGTGTTGGCCCCCGAGAGCGCTCGCGGGTGGTTGGGCGAGCTACGTGAACGATGTCAGAAAGTGCGTGCGAGAGGAAATCTCGGCGTACGACGCGACGGCGGTGGAGAGTCCCGGAGACTTTTTCAACAAGGAGCTCCTGGCGGCGGTTCCTGTGTCGCTGATTCGGTATCCGTTGGCGTGGCTCTTGAAGTCGCCAAAGCTCATCGTGCCCCTGGTCACGTTCACGCTGACGCTAAGCGCGCTGCCCGGGGCGGTCGAGAGCATCGGAGACGCTGGGGTCGAGTCGGCGGCGGAGGCGCTCGTCACCGACGTCTTTCTCGCGCTCGACGCGTTGCAACTTCTCCTCCTGACTCGATTGTTCCTCGTCGCGTTGCTCAGAGACCGCAACGATATCTTGGCTCGGAATATCTCGAGCGCGTGCGATCGCGTTCCCGTCGGAGGATCCGTCGTGGCCATACTCGGCGCGGCGCACCTCAACGGAGTGCATCGACGGTTAGTCGTCGACGAGGGATTGGCTGGGGAGAGTAGATAGAGTGTAGGAGTAGCGGCTCGCATAGATTGGACTGTGTATTTTAAAATGGTATAAATGCGCGAAGCTATCGGCACCGGTTGCGGGGCCACACGCGCGTGGCGGCACGCCATTCATCACCGATTCAATGATGTCCTCGATGTTTGCGCGGCGAGGCAGGCGCGGAGTTTTCGTCATCGGTCGAGGCTGACGTGGAATTGTCGTAACGAGGCGCCTTTTCCCCGAGCTTTTCCTGAAGCGTGCGAACGTGCTCTTCGAACCCGAGTTGTGCCACCGCGGGGCAGGTTTCAGCGCCCAAGCGAGCGACGAGCTCGCCACCGGCGTCCACCTTTGGAAACTCGTATCCCATCGTGCGCAAATCCTCCACCCACGCCTCGCAGTACTTTGTCTCGGTCCAGAACTTGCCGTCTTGGAGCGTTCTGCAAAGATCGACGAATCGATCGGCCATGTTATCTCCCTTGGGCTTCCACTCCAAGAGCGCTTTCACCATGCGACCCGCGTCCGCGTACAGCTCGAGCTCGCCCTCGAAATCTTCGAGGTAGTCGTGCGCCGTGCGAACCTGAACGACGTCGGCCTGGTCGAAGAGTAAGCGTCCGCCCATGTCCCAGAGCAAGCGCTGTGAGAAGTATCCTCGCCAAATGTCGCACACTCGCATGGGCGTCGTGGCCGGGATGAGCATGAGGAAAAATGCCTCCTTGGACCAGAGCACGGCTTGGGAGTTGAACGGACAAATCACGCCGTGATCGAGCGCCACGGGCGGGACATCGCCATCGAGCTGTACCTTACCGATCGCCTCTCCGCGTGTGAGTCGGAAGATGGCGTCCGTGTCCGGGTCACCGTTCACGAGCAAAGACTTGATCGGCGAGTAGTGCTTCTGCACCGCCTTCTCCATGAGCACGTTTCCACCCGTGTTGTTGATTTCATTCAGAGGGAACCCGCGCGGCCAAATGTCGGGTCGACCGAAGTACGCGTACACATTTTGCGCCGCGTGGTCTTTGTCTTCAACCAGTCGCGCCGAGCACACCTCGTCCTGGACGCGCTCCGGGGTGAACACCTTGGTGAAATCCGACAAGTTGTCGTCATCCGTCTCGTAAATCATCTCCGCTCCCTTGGAGATGGCGTACAGATATCCAAGATTCTTTCGCGCGTAGCTCTTGTACGGCAAGGCCGCCGCGAGCTTAGAGCCCATCTTCTTCTGCGCCTCGACGCTGAGGAAATCGCACCCCTCCGCGCTCCAATCCGTCGGCGTCTTCGTATCCGCGACGACGACCATTCCGAGCGCGGGATCCTTCGCCGCGACGCCGCACATCGTCCGCATATCACTCGTCGGCGCATTGATGGACGTCACGACCACCCATCTCGTCGGTTTCGCATCGCCCGTCGCCGCGCTCGCGTTCACCGCGTTCACCGTCGCGTTCACCGTCGCCGCCGCCGTCGCGTTCACCGCGTTCGCCGTCGCGTTCGCCATCGCCTCCGCCGTGGCGTTCGCCGCCGTACGCCGCGCTCCGCCCGCCCGTCTCGGCCGTCCCATCGCCGCCGTCACTTCTCCCCCATCCGCGACCGAGCGCCCGCCCATGATCCCAATCGTCATCGCGCACGCCCCGAGCGCGAGTCCGAGCGCGAGGGCGAGTCGTCGCGTCGTCGTCGGGCGTCGCCCAACACCCTCGACGACGTCCTCGCCATCATCGCGGTCCCGCGATCGCGTCAACAGCGCCGCGCGCTCGGCGGCGTCGACGGCGGACATCATCGACGCGTTCGCGATGCCCCGACGCCGCGGTCGAGCGCGCGCGCGCGGTGTTTCGACGTCGAGGACGCGTCGGCGACGATGTGGATGGTGGACGGTCCGGATCGGACGCGGTGAGACGTCGTGGACATCGCGCGTCCCACCCCGCGCGCGCGCGTCGGAGCGCCGCGCGCGATGTCCACGACGTACCGAGGCGCGCGCGCGATCGACGTGCGCGGCGCCGAGGGCTCGCGCGCGACGCTCACCGAGCACGGCGCGCACGTCGTGCGATGGGTTGGGCCGGATGGGGACGAACGGGTGTTCACCTCGCGCGCCGCCGTGCTCGACGGCGCGCGGGCGATCCGGGGAGGGATACCGATATGCTTTCCGCAGTTTAGTGATCTCGGGCCGTGCGCGACGTCGCACGGGTTCGCGCGGTGCGTGCGGTGGGAGACGAAGGAGACGCGCGACGGGCGGTGCGCGATGACGACGCGGGCGACGAGCGAGGAGTTCAAAGCGCCGCACGAGACGACGTACGAGGTGGAACTGCTGGATGATGGATCGATGCGAACGACGTTGCGGGTGCGGAACGCGGGTGCGGAGGCTTTTGGGTTCACGACGGCGCTGCATACGTATTTTCGAGTGGGCGACGCGGAACGGACGCGGGTCGAGCTCGGACGACGCGGGTTGACGTATCTCGATAACCTCGACGGACGTCGCGCCAAGGTGGACGAGGGCGATACGGTGGTGTTCGAGGGTGAGGTTGATAGGATTTATAAGAGCGCCCCGGGGACGATTCGAATAGTGGACGAAGCGTCTTCGAACGGGCCGCGGACGTTTCACATTGAGAAATCCGAGTCGTTTCCGGACGCCGTCGTGTGGAATCCGTGGATCGAAAAGGCGCGTAAGATGAGCGATTTCGATGATGATGAGTATCGCGAGATGGTGTGCGTAGAAGTCGCGTGCGTGGACGAAATTGTCGTCGCCCCGGGCTCGACGTGGGTCGGTTCGCAGACGATTAGCGTGTCAAAGTAGGTGGCAAACACTCATATCAATATTACCGGTACCTACTTGTGCAAGTATCACAAGGTCATGCGCTACCTCATGTGTCAACTAAAAAAGTACACAGAGTCCCTGACGACGTTCAGGTCGAGGTCCCCGGGCTTTGGAGGTCGAGGAAACTTATCCGCGACGTCGGGATAGCTTTCGCGCAACTCCTCGTACAGGTTCTCCAGAAGCGGCTCGCTATGAACCTCGATAAACTTCTCTCGAAGGATTTTGTTCATCGTATCTATGTCGCACGCGTGCGTCCAGAACGAGTCGTGCACGCCGGCAAACGTCAATCCAGCGTCGACGCACGCGACGGCTGTCTTCATCATGTGCGAACTATCTATGCTGTGAATGTAGTTCGGTGGAAACGCGCTGCGCTGTTTCACCTTCATCACCGGTTGTTTGTCGTCGTCTGTCTTGATGGTGAAGGATTGAAGTATAGTTCTCACGCGTTTGGTTGATTTACGGTGATACGGCTGTACCACGGGTAATCCAAGTGGAGTCGTCCATCTGACCGGTTCACCCGTCGCCGTGGCTATCGCGGCGCAGTCGGTGAGCCAACCCATGACATCCCGAGCGTTAGAAAACATGTTATTCAGAGCATCGAGCGTCCTCCGCGCGGCGTAGGTAGAGACGCGGTATCTGAGAAGCTCGTTATCCTCCATGACTTCGCGCTCGCGCAGACGGCTATATATCTGTGCCCGGGCTCCGATGAAAGTCACACCGTACACAGAAGTCATAACCGTCTGCTTCACGAGTTTACGATCGATGTGGTGCGCGAGAGCCATCGCAAGCTTTGCATTCGCCACGTCCTCTTCGTTGTCACTGTCGATGAGTTTGATATCATCGGCGACGATGCGCTTGAGTACGTTTGCAATGCCGGTGTAGACGTCGGCGCCTCTGTCTGCCGGAACTAGGTTCACGGCTTCGCCACCGTGCAAATCTCGCCCAAGCGCGGCGTAGTGCTGTAAACCGTTGCACGAACCGTCTTGATGCACAGGGAGATTACTCAAGAACTGTGTGGGATCTTCCAGCTCGAGCGCCTTATCCAGCTCGATGCACGTGGCCAGACACTGCCAGGGTTCCTCGGCATCTTGCCACCACGCACCCTTGGCCAGTGGATCCTGGGCAGAAGCGCGAACTTGCTCGATCTGATCCACGATGAACTGTACTCGTTCATCCATAGGGAGCTTATCGGCGCCATTACCGAAGAGCGTGGCACACTGAATATACATCCACCGCAAACCGCGTTCGCCGAGAGGCTTCTTTTCGCTGAAGCGAAGCAAACCTCGACACAAATCGCTTCCTATGTGATTCAAGTGCACGTGCATCGTGTACGCGCGTCCTCTAAAGTCCAGATTATGTGGGAAATATATGTTTGGCTCATTTTTCATCTCCCTTGCCACCTGAAGTTTGATCAAGAAGTCGCAACGCTGCGAGTGGAGCTCCATGTTCGATTTCTTCGTCTTCCGCACGCTCTGCAAGAATTCAATCACTTCGCCTTTCCCCGGAAGCCCACTTGCGAGGAGCTGGAATCGGTTTTTGTCGCTTCGGAGAGCGTAAGATCCTCCAGGCCAACGCGGGAGCTGTAACTCGGCGCGAAGTGGAACCTCCGCGATGCCTCCGCCTCTCGCCCACACCTCCTCAACGATGGGTAGCACGTCAGTATTTACTTGCCAAGGCGTTCGTCCGAGCGCATTCAGGGCGTCCAGGACCGGCTGATATAGCACCGGTTCATTCTTGAGTTCAGCCTCGCGCGCCTTGGCTTCCAGCGCCTGCACCTGCGCGCGACTAGGACCTTCATTGGAGTACTTGCCTCGCATGCACAGCGTGTTCGCCCGCAGGTAACCTCCATTGTTGTACCTAACCCACTCTCTAGGCGGCACGATCATGGGGAAGTGTTTGACCGGTACTAGTGCCGCGCGCGTCATCGTCTCTGTGTTGATAAATCTATAGATACTGTCATGCCAGTGTAACATCCCGTAACCACCCTCCCTGTAGTCGTGATAAAACGCCGGAAGTGTCAAGACCCCACCGTTTTCTTCTGGGACCCCGATCTTCGCAGTATTCATCAACGCGTTTAAGAGTACCGTTCCTACTTTAACGCGGATCTCCCGTCCCCACTCGGCGTTCTCGAGCGCATTTCTCGCGTGTTTGGACACCGACTTGATGGTGTTCATCTTCGAAGTGTCCAGCGTCAAGTTGATCCTCTGCTCAACCAGCTCTTCGACGTCCTTCGACGCTGCATTGCCGCCGTCGGCAGTGAGCGTTGTTTGTTGTCTCGATTTCTTGTACGCCTCCTTGGCGATCTTCTCCGCGGCTCGCATACGTCCAAGGTTGACCTCTGCCTGCACCACGATGCCTACCTGCTCCGCGACGGTGATGAACTTCGCGCTTCCTGATGCCGCTGTGTCGTCATCACCCCTGAAAATAGGCACATCCAGGCGCAAGTCTCCCTTCATGAGTGTGCTCAACGTCGTATGCAGCGTGAGCACCGCCAGTTTCTCGGGCTCTAACAGCGCCAAGTAGTGCCCGTACACGCGTCGATCAACGCCGGGAACGTTCGACTTTATCTTCTCGTGCTCCTCTTTGATTGCGTCCACAAGTGGGACGTAAAACGACGCCAGCAGCTTTTGGACCACGGGAAGCTGCGCCCCTATCCCGGCCGCGAACGTTTTCCGAGCAAACTCCTTGTAGCGAGCGACCTCTCGCTCGCACGCTAAATTCTCCGCCTCCCTCTGTTTCCTAAGCTGCAACTGCTCCGCGCTCGGCTGCTCTCGCGGCGCCTCCGAGCGCCGCAGCTGCCTCCGTCTGAGATGTAACGACTGCAGCGCCAATCGTATCTTTTGTTTTCGCTCGTTTGCCGCCTCAAAGATTCTGTCTCTCGCGTCTCCGAACGCCGTCGCCTCCGCGCTCAGCGGTCGAAGCTTCGGTCCCGGTCGCGGCGCGCTCTCCGGCATCCCCGCCGCCGCGAGCAACATATCGATCTCCTCATCGTCCTGCGCGATCGCGAGCCGACGCGTTCGTCGTCAGTCTCCCGTCTCGTCTCGCGTCGAGCGCGCCAGTCGTCCTCTCCGTCGTCAGCTCCTACCGTCTCCGCGTCCTCCACCCGTCTCCCGACCGCGCTCGGGGCGCGCGCGCGTCATCACACCTCCCTCTCGAGCGCGCGTTCTCTCCAACGCTCGATGTCTTCATCGCTCAAACGCACCTCCATGAGATCGGCGCTCCATCGCTCGAGCGACGGCGCCCCTCTCGCGGGCGCGCTCGTCTCCGCGGCGGCTCCACTGCGCGCGCGCGCGAGCGAACCGATCGCGCGCGCGCGCGCGCGCGACGCCGCGACGAGCATCGCGCGTCGCGCTCGACGACGCGCCCGCGACCGGGGCGCGCGTCGCGTCGCCGGGCGCCGTGGACCGGTGGCATACATACATTAACCATGAAAATGCCATCTGTGCATATGTGTGCATATTGCGGTGTACGACACGCCTGTGTGTTCGAAATACGTAGAAATGGTCCGTTCGCACGCGATGAGACCACCGTGGCCGAGGCGCGCGCGCGCGCGGCGCGATCCGCCTTTCCAGCGCGCGACGAGGACGATGGCGTACGTATCGAGCGATGCGCGCGCGCGGAGTGATGGCGACGACGCGATGCGATGCGCGGGCGACGCGGAGGCGCGAACGGGCGGTCGCGGACGCGGGGAGAGGCGGATGGATGCGTCGAGCGCGAAGGCGTGACCCTAAAAGGGACGGCGAGGAACGGTCGTTCGGAGGGCGTGGACGCGCGAACGCGCGTGCGCGCGCGTGGGGGGGGAGCGGTGAATCGTTCGTGTGATGATTCTCTCGCGATCCGCATCGCACGCGCGCGCGGACGTCGAGCGTGGACGCGTCGACGGCGCGTTTGGTGGTTGCGCGAAAGGGTTTTCGCGAGTGCGGTCGAGACCGAGCGAAGATGGCGCGTCGACGCTCGAGGCGAGCGCTGAGCGCTGTGAGCGAGGGGGAACATCGACTGACGAATACATTGCTTTTGTTTTGGACCATCGCAGGAAGAAGAAGTCCCCCAAGTTCTACCCCGGTGACGACGTGAAGAAGCCGATCAAGCGCACGGTCGTGCACAACCCGACCAAGCTTCGCGCGTCCATCGCGCCGGGTCAGATTTTGATCCTCCTCGCCGGTCACTTCAAGGGTAAGCGCGTGGTGTTCATCAAGCAGCTTGCGAGCGGACTGTTGCTCGTTGCCGGCCCGTACGGTGTGAACGGTGTGCCGATCAAGCGCGTGAACCAACGCTACGTCATCGCGACGAGCGAGAAGGTTGATGTGAGCAAGGTCGACGCGGCCAAGTTTGACGACGCGTACTTCAAGAAGCCGGCGAAGGAACGCTTCAACAAGAAGAGCGAGGAAGAATTCTTCAAGGCTGGCTCCGAGAAGAAGGAACTCCCGGCTTCTTACATTGAGGACAACAAGAAGGTGGATGCCGCGCTCTCCGCGGCCATCTCCGCCACTCCGTACCTCAAGGAATACATGTCCACGCTCTTCACGCTCAAGTCCGGTGACAAGCCGCACGAGATGAAGTTCTAAGCGTTTAAAACGTTCGGTTAGTGTCGGTGTGGTGTTTGTTGGTGGTCTTGAGACGCGTTTAGAACGCACAAATCAGGGCTTGAGGCGGAGAAATATAGCTGATGTAAGGTCTCGTCTCAACTCTACAATTTCTATCTATATCTCCTTCACCGTTCGATCTCTCGCACACGCAGTGGGTTCAACTCGACGCGCTACGCTACGAGCTCGCTCACGCTCAGAACCACTCGTTGTGCTCCTCTAAGTCCGTATTCATTAGCTCGGCGCGCTCGCGTAACTCGTTCTTTTTTCGGAACATTTTTCTCTCGAACCCGGTCGAGCGATCGACTCCGTCCCAGTGACGCCCCGGCTTGATACCATATCGATTGTGCGGCGCGGTCATGCCTCGACGGATCCAGCTGTGCGCGGGTACCTCCTGTGGTATGCAGAAACCAGACTTCTTCAGGTCCTCGGTGGACAGTCCCAATCCGTCGACAACAGAGGGCAAGTTCAGGGCTTCTTTCTGTCGCTTTTTACGACTCAGGTGCGCCATGGGGTCGCCAAATCGCAGTGCCTCGCGCTGCGCTTCCTCGTACTCGGCGTCGATGTCAGCATGCGCGAACGGCGCGTCCTTGGCCTTCTCCAAATCAGCCTCGAACTGCTTTGCCTGTCTTGCCTGCTCCACCCCGGACGCCCAGACCGGGCGCTCGCGCTCTTTCGGCTTCGTTGCCTCGGCGCGGCGCTTCATTTCTTCTCTGTCCATGAGCTTACCCGTCGCCTTGTCTCTATAGTTCGTCGCCGCGCCGCGGCCGCTTTGCTCGTCTGTCATTTTCGCCATGCGCTCTCGCTCCGCCTTGCGCTTCATCTCCGCCTCCATGATCACCTGAGCCGCGCTTACGAGCCCGGTGGAGGTTCCATCTGTCATTTTGTGCATTTTGTCTTTCTTCTCCCTGTGTTTTACGACATTATTGTCATTCTCACCCTCCTCAGGAGGCTTCAAGGTCTCAAGCGGAACAATCAGGTCTCCGTCGCTGTCGTACTGGAGCTCACCCACATTCCCTCCCGCGGGCTCATCGGGGATGATGAGATCACCATCGCTATCGTACTGAAGCTCATCCGTCGCCGCTCCCGACCCCATCACGGTGTCGGAGGGCAAGATCAAATCTCCATCGCTATCGTATTGTAACTCGCCGTCGCCCGCCGTCTCAGCCGGAACAATCAAATCCCCATCGCTATCGTACTGCAGCTCTGAGTCCCCGACTCTCGCACTCGGCGTCGCCGTCGTCGCCGTAACCGCGCCGACGTCAACCTTTTCGTCCTCGCTATCGCTATCGTGTCTTCGCCGCGCTCCGACGTTCGCCGCCGCCAACGCGACGTCCTCCTCTGAATCAGAATCGTGTCTTCGCCTTCTCGGCGCCGTCTCCGCCGCCGCCCATCCGCTTCCGTCCTCCTTTATCCCCATGTACGTCACCGCCCGTCGCTCGATCTCCGTCGCGTCCATCTCCGTCGCGTTCACCTCGCGTCCGCGCGCGTCGAGCACCGTCGGTCCCTCCTCCTCTAGCGCTCGCGCGCGCGCGCCGTCTTCCCCGAACCCGACGTCGCCATCGATGATGCGCACCGCGGCCGTCTCCTTCGCCTTCGCGCGCTTCTTCTTCCGTCGTTTCCCGTCGGCGTCGGGCTTGGATTTCGTCGGGTCGGCGGACCCCGCGCTCATGTACTTCTTCAAGTAATCCAGCTTGGAGCTCATCGTTCGAGCGAGCGCGGCGACGCGGGATAGTGCGCGTGTGTTGTCGTCCACGCGCGCGGCGCCGGACCGGAGCGAGCGAGCGGCGCGCGCGACGACGTCTGAGGCTTCGGCGAGCGAGGAGCGAGCGAAGAGCGCGACGCGAGACGATGACGACGCGTCGGCGGCGAGTCGCGGACGAGTCCATCGTGAGTTTACAACGTTATACTGATATGATGTTCACCCTCGGCGCGCGGCGACGAAGACGGAGCCCTTGTCGCCTCGACCGACGCGAAGGTCGTCGTCGATGTAGGTGGTGTCCAACCATCCTCTGGGTTCGAACGCGTCGAGCGATGCCTTGAACCCTCTCGCGGACGATCCGAGCGCGATCTCGACCTCTCTGAATCGTACGTTTAGACGATTCGCGCGCGCGGGGTCGACCTCGCACTCGCCTCGGAGCGACACGGTGAGCTTTGTCGCGCCGCCGAAAGCGTCGAATTCTGCTCGATTTTCAGCCGTCTTCGCGTCGATGTCCAAATCTTGGAAATTTCCCCGCGAGCGCACGAAGAACGATTTAATCCTCTGCATCACGTCACCGCCGCCCGTCGTCGACGCCCCGTCCTCTTCACCGCGTCCACCGCTCCCGCTCGCGTCCGTGAGCGCGGCGCCGACGACGCCCTCCAACCGTCTCCGCTCCTCCGCCTCGCCCGTCGTCGTCGCCACGCTCGCGAGCAAGCTCCACTTCCCACTCACGCTCGTGGCATCAAACGCATCTACGCGCCCATCGATCGCCGCCGCTTCCTCTAACGCCCGAGCGAGCTCGAGCGTTCGCTCTCGCGCGTCCCGCTCGCCGCGCCCGAGCGCCGCGCACGCCGCCGTGAGCCCCCGCTTCGTCTCCGCGCTCGACGCTTCGTCTCCGCTCGCGGCGCGCGCGCGAAGCACGCGTCCTCCGCGCCGATTCGACCGCGTCCTCGAGCGCGCGCGCGCGATGCGAGACGACGCGTTCGTCGACGTGGTGACATCCATCGGCATCGAACCCATCGCGCGTCACACCGCGTCGTGCGCGCGCGCGAACGCGAACGCGCGCGATGACCGACGCGCGTCGCGCCGATGAAGTCTCCCGACGCGTCCTGCGCGACGCCCTGGAGTCCCACGCGTGCGTCGCCCTGTGGATCATCCTGAGCGCGGTGGTCATCTTATTCAACAAGTACATTCTTAGCGTGTACGGGTTTCCGTATCCGATCGCGCTGACGATGACGCACATGGCGTTCTGCTCCGCCATCGCGTTCGCGCTCGTGCGCGTGTTCAAGGTGGTGGAACCGAGCGAGGGGATGACGCGGGAGACGTACCGCGAACGCGTGGCGCCCATCGCGCTCTTGTTCGCGATATCTCTGTGGGCGTCGAACACCGCGTACGTGTACCTGAGCGTGGCGTACATACAAATGTTGAAGGCGTTATCGCCGGTGACGGTGTACGGGATCGGGTGCGCGATCGGGCTGGAGACGTTCACCGCGAGACGGTTGGGGAATCTTGGGGTGGTGACGCTCGGGGTGATGATCGCGTCGTACGGGGAACTGAATTTCAACATGTTTGGGTTCTGTGTGCAGTTATTGGCGGTCGTGGTGGAAGCGTGTCGAATCGTGAGCGTGCAGATCGTGTTGGGAAAGGCGAACTTGAAGCTGAATCCGATCACGACGCTGTACTACGTCTCTCCGGCTTCGTTCGTGTTCTTGCTCGTGCCGTTCGCGCTGTTGGAGATGCCGAAGATCGTGTACGGGTACGAGGTAACGCACTCGGTGCATTATCAGGCTGGGATCATGCTTGGGAACGCGTCGTGCGCGTTTCTGTTGAACTTGGCGCTGTATCTCCTCATCGGGCGCACGAGCGCGCTGACGCTGAACGTCTCGGGCGTCATCAAGGACATGTTCCTGATCGGTATCAGCGCCGCCGTTTTCGAGTCCCCGATATCGGCAACGCAGCTCGTGGGTAGTCTCGTGGCGTTCAGCGGCGTGTGCTACTACAACTACGCAAAGTTGAACGAGGCGCAGCGAAAGGCGGCGCAGGAGTTGGAGACACAGACAGAGGTGAAAACTGGAGACAACAAGTTAGAGAAACTTTAGAGGGTTAGTTCGCGCATTGATTCCTGCATCTGTTACACTGGTTGTTTATATTTAACGTAACGCATGCGTCGTTTCCACTGCGGAAAGTCTACACGGCAAACGTCGATGAATCAGTATCACTGCGAAGAGACAGTTGCTGCATCTTCACCTCAAATTCATCTGAGAGGGAGCAAAGCTCGGTATAAATCAGCTCACGAATGTCCGTACCGGTGAGGTATCGACCGTCTTCCTCGAAATTGAACGTGAACGGCGTCTCGGCGCACGGCTCGTCGACTTCGTCGTGTAACGACTCCAGGTACGGATGCGCCAAAGCGTCCTCCACGGTGATCCGACGAGCGGGATCGAGTACGAGCATCTTGTCCACGAGATCCACCGCTTTTGGCGACGCGTTCGGGAAGAGCTTCCGAAAGTTACATCTTGCCGTGACCGGAAGCGATTTGATGTAACGCCGCGCCTTTTCGTTGTTGATGAAATCGAGCTCTGAATCGTCTCGCGGCGTTCCGATGACGCGCATGATAAGATTCAGCTGGTGCACGTAATCCTTCCCCGGGAACAGAGTCTTACGACCGAGTAGCTCGGCAAAGATACAACCCACGCTCCAGACGTCGATAGCGCTCGTGTACTCGGCGCACGAGAGCAAGAGCTCTGGCGCTCGATACCATCTCGTGACGACGTACTCAGTCATAAACTCAGACGCCTCCGCATCCACGAGTGCGGTGCGAGCGAGGCCGAAATCACAAATCTTCAGATCGCAGTTCGCGTTGAGCAATAAATTTCCAGGCTTCAAGTCTCTGTGCAAGACGTCGGCGCTGTGAATGTACTTCAGTCCGCGTAAAATTTGATACAAAAAATATTGGCAGTGCTCATCCGTCAGAGATTGGCTGCTGCGGATGATTTGGTACAGATCGGTGTCCATGAGATCATACATGAGATACACGTCCTCGAACGCGTCCATCGCTTCCGGTCGCACGCAATCGATGATGTCTATGACGTTTTCGTGCCGCAGGTGCCTCAACAACTTAATCTCCCGCAGCGTCCTCTTTGCGTCCACTACATTCTCGAATACATTCACAATCTTCTTAATCGCAACCTTCCGATTTGTCTCCACCTCCCGAGCGCTGCACACGACCCCGTACGCGCCTTTACCCACGGGCTTTATCGGCGCGTACTTCGCGTCCACCTCGAACACCGTCCCGCACACCGCGAATTTACTCGTCACCGCCTTCTTTGCTTCACCTCCGGACTCCCTCCGCCGCTCCCGCTCCTTCCGCGCCTTCCTCCGCTTCGTTCTCGCCGCCCGCACCACGTCATCATCCCCACCCGCGTGCTCCCGTCGTCGACTCCGTCTTCGTCCGCCGTCCGCGTCCGACCCGTCCCAATCATCGCTCTCGCTTCCATCCGTCGTCCCCGTCGCCGCGCTCGAGCTCTCCGACCCGCACGCGCTGTCTTCGTCCTCCGTCGTGCTCATCTCCCCCGCGTCGAGCGACGACGCGTCCGCCCGTTCTCGTCGACGTCCCGACCGCATCGATCGCGCATCTCCACCGCTCTCGCTCGCTCTCGCGCCGCCGTCGCCGCCGTCGCCCCTCGCGCGCGCGCGTCCGTCGTCACCGGGACTGGGCGTCGTCTCGCCGTCCATCGCGCGCGCGACGCGTCCGGCGTCGTCGTGTGCGGCGATGTCTAGATCGAGCGTCATCCTCACCGACGATGCGCGCCCCACACGCGCGCGCGCGACGACTCGAGCGCGCGCGAGGGGTGCCGGCGATGCCTCTCGCGCGTCTCCGCGCCTCGGCGCCGACGGCGCGCGCGCGCGCGGACGCGCGAGGGGATGGGACGCGCGCGAGTGAAATCATCCATCGACGCGCGGCGCTCGTGACGACGCTGACGACGACGCTGACGACGACGCTGACGACGACGCTGGGCGCGCGCGCGTCGGTGTTCGACGCGGTGCCGGACGCGCCGCCCGTGGGATCGTGCGCGGAGTGCGTGGGGGAGCTGAATGGTTTCTTGAACGCGTGCGAGACGGCGGGCGAGGCGCGGGCGAGCTGCGTGTCGAGTCAGAACGACGACGCCGAGCGGTTCGTGAACCCGTGGGCGCACGAATACGGGAAGCGAGAGGACGCGATGCGAGCGTTGGTCGAGACGGCGACGGGGAAGACGGCGATCAGGGGACGGGCGGGACCGCGGGCGGGCGGGACGGCGGCCGCCGGACGGTTGTCGTTCGACGCGCGCGTGGAGGCGTACGACGAAGACACGGGCTACGTTCGATTGCTCCTGGTGCCGCGCGGGGATGACGAGTCTAAGGATGCCGCGAGGGCGTTCGACGCGGAGTTCTTGTTCGAACCGGGCGATGAGGTGGTGAACGTGCGCGTCGCCGAGCGCCCGGACGCGAGCGGGTCCGGACAGCGACGCGGAACGTTCAAGCTTAGTTACACCAATCTCGTCACGTACGACACGAACGTCGCTCGAGAGCGAGCAGAAGAGCTTCGAATCGCGCTCGGGTGGGAGAACCTACCCGTGATCGCCGCCTTTGATCCGAAGTGGAGCGACAAGGAGCAACTGTGGTTTGAGAAACTCTTCTCCGCCGCGCGAGGCGAGCGCCCGGCGGATTACGATTTAGATTACATGCGCGACGCCATGTCGTACGAGTGATTCGTTACATTTATAGCGCACATTTATTTATTAGTTCTAGTACCATGGTAGCAGCGATTCTTTTGTATCATCAAACCGCGCCGTTGATTCGTTGATTCGTGGCGTCGCAACCGTCCGGGCCTCATACCTCGTCCTCCACCTCTCAACGCTCGTCATGCCCATCACCGACGTCGAGCGGGTAGTTTTTCTCGCGTACTTCATTTCACACGTGCCCGCCACGGCTTTGATCGATTCGCAGGTCGTGTTACCGTCGAGACTCGTTCCAAAGTTTGCAAAGAGCGCACTGGCTTGGCACATTCGACAAAATAACGATGTGTTAATGTCGACCCAACCGCGATGGCTCGTCTCGCTCGTGACGTGTGAGTTGGTGTTTCAGTTTCCGTTCTTCTTCTACGCCATATCGGCGCTGCGACGACGGGACGAGGGCGCTCGAGGGTGGTTGATCGCCTACGGGGCGCACACGGCGACGACCATGGCGCCGATTTTACAGTTCATCCACGACAGCGCTAAGCTGACAGCACGGGAGCGGTGGTCGTTGATGGGGATTTACGCGCCGTATTTGATCGTTCCGTTGTGGATCGCGATGCGAGCGCTCGGGAGCGGGCCTTTGTTCGCGTCGAAGACGAAGACGAAGGGACAATGACAGAGAGACGTGTCCACGATAGCTAGTGTAATACAACGCGGGTGCGTTCTTCGCGCGCAATCTAAGGTTTTCGCGCGATGGCCTGTCTCGTGAACGTTTTCATCTTGCTCGCGAGGATGAAGGCGTCGATTCCCTTCCCACACTTACCGACAACACGAGTGGGTGAAAACTCCAAGCCACAGTCGAGCTTTGCGCGCGAGGGCGTCTCCGATCCGGGCGTGTACGAGAAGAGCGCGGCGGTGTCGATGCACACGTACGCCAAACACGCCTCACCATTAGCGTCGTCGTTGGCGAACCACTTGAAATCACGAATCGGTTTACGGTGTACGAAGATTGCAAGCGGTTCCACGTCCTCCGCCGCCGCGCTCGCCGACCACAGAAACAACACCTTATCGTCCTGGCTCGCGCACGCACTCGCGATGACGGTCCCACAACGACTCATAGCGAGACGAACCCCCATTCTCTCGACGCCGTTCGAGTCGCACGCGATCGTCGTCTGCTCAAACCGCTCAATCTTCTCAAACCCGTCGGTGCTCTCGCGAAAGCATCGCGTGACGAACGTCGCATCACACCGTAACGGATGCCCGACCGCGCGCACGACCCGCCACGTGAGCTCGTCTATCCACGCCAAGCCCTCGCGGTTGTTTTCAATCGTTGAAACGACGAGTGAATCGCGCGTGCGTGCGTATGGGACTCGCGCGCCTCGGATCTCGGCCCTCTGCGTCCCGTCCGATGAAAACACTCGAAGAGCCGGCGAGGCATTCGGCTTGCACGGATCGTCGAACACCAAAATCTCTCCGAACGACCCGAACTCGATCGCTCGAGCGTCTGCACTCGCCGGCAGCCTGAAAGTTATTGCCGCGGCGTGCGGTGCGTCGCTCGCGTACACCTCCACCTGTTCGCGTCCGTCTTCGTCCCTCGCGACCACCGAGGTCCACCGCCCGCACCTCGACAACGCACGCAAAGCCCCCGAGTCACCGTCCTCGCTCGTCTTCGCTCGATGCGCGATCGTGTGCTCGATCATCGTCTCCGCGTTCACGATCGTCGTCGAGCCATCGAATCGATGTCGCAACCCGACGTACCCGCCGCCGCCGAGCGCCCGCCACGCGTGCGCGAACGCGTACTCATCCCCCCCGTGCACCGGATGCATCGCCTCTAGCCCGCTTCCACGCGACACATTGATGACGTACGCGTCACCATCGCGCGTGACGCACGCCGCGCGATCGCTCCGTGCGGCGAAAACGACTGAAATCACCTCGGATGGAAACTCCAAACGAGCCGTCTCGCCCAAAAGTTCCAACGTGTGCGCGTCGCGTAACGCGAGAAAGCGCTCGGAGGCGACGAGAGCGAGCTCGGATGACGGGTCGAGGACGACCGAGCCCTTGTAAGCGGCGTGCAAGGGGTCGGACGTGGACGGTGCGGACGAGAGACGCGTCATGATGTGCGGCGCGCGTCGGCTGTGCTGCGAGTTCGGACGCGCGAGGACGACGGGAGAAAGAATGTGTCCGTACAGGTCGTTACAATATCATACATTACCCTCCGCGGGAACGCCATCGTAGGAGACGCGATAGGCGGGGAACTGGCTGGTATCGATCACGCCCTCGCCGATGTCTCGAACGGTGACGTTTAAGCGCCCGTTGAGCATTTTTCCTCGCAAGTGCCCCGGCATCGAGCCGGGGTGGACGTTCAACACCGAGTGCACGATCATGCGAGACGGCCCCCCGAAGAGTAAGACATCGCCAGAGTTTAGGCGCACGACCTCGTGCGTTGGATCTTCAAACGAGTACTTGTATCCAAAGTCCGCGGACATGCCGACGCTAAAGCTGACGATGGGCGGTCCGGCGCGAGACTTCACCAACTTTGGATCCTCGGAGTCTTTGTGCCATTTAAATTCGGCACCATCCTTGTAAAAGTTCACCAAACACGTCGTGGGATTCATGTCCGGCATCGCGTCGTCCACTTTTTGAGCTGCGCGCACCGCCTCGGCGCACATCTCTCGCAACGCGTCGCCCGGAAACGCCTCGGGCGTTAAAATCATCCGACCTCTCGACCCTTGGTTCAGCTTCGCCGCGCCGTCGCTCGAGCGCTCAAAAAATCCCTGTTGCACGTCCACGCTCTCTCCTAATCGAAAACTCTCGTCCGCGAGCCACCGCTGTCGCTCGACCGTCATGAATTTCCTTAAACACACCAAACCGGGCGCCAACGTCTCCGCCTTGACCTCGCGCGCCCGCCGCGTCTCGCTGGAACATCCCGTCGTCCCCGTCGTCTCCACCCCCCCACCGAGCGCCCGTCGGAGCCGCGCGCGATGCGCCTCGCTCGGCAACGCTCGCGCGAGCGCGTCGATCTCGCGCGCGGCGTCGCTCGACGCGCGCGAACATTCAATCATCGCTCGCGCGAGCGCATCCGGCGTCACCTCATCGAGCTGAAATCCGCGCGCGAGCGCTCGCAGGTCGTCGTACCGCCCCGGGATCGCCCGTCGCAACGCCCTCGCCCGTCGTCGCAAGACGTCAACCGCGTCGGCGTCCATGCGGCGCGGTGTGTCGCGTCGAACGTCGCGCACGTGGCGGTCGTACACGGCGCAGCCATTCGAAGGCCCCATTCGTCGTCGATCCCGCGTGATGGCGCCGCGCGCGGCGGATCCCTACTACGTCGTCCGCGACGAGCTCGATCGTCGCGTCGATGCGCTCCGACAACGGTGCGCGGAGACGAGCGGGGGCGGGAACGCGAGCGCGTTGACGGAATTGATGCGTCAAGACGCCGAGGGCGCGCTGTGGGAACTCGACGAGCTCGATCGCGCGACGACGACGGCGAGCAAAGACTTGGCGCGGTACGGATTGACGCGTGAGGAGCTGGAGGAGCGGTGGCGGTGGAGCGCGCGCGAGAGAGAACGGGTGCGGGAGGTGATGTCGATCGCGGCGCGTCGGGCGGGCGGGACGGGCGGGACGCGGACGGCGGACGACGCGGGAGACGCGACGCGGAGAGACGTTGAGAGCGGACGAACGGAGCGTGGATTCGATGATCATCAACAGTTGTTGGTGCGGAGGCAGGATGAGGATCTGGATGACATCTCGGCGAGCATATCTCGCATCGGACAGGTCGGGTTGACGATCGGCGAGGAGTTGGCGTCGCAGAGTAAGATGTTGGAGGAGTTGGACGAAGACGTCGATGGGGTTCAGGCTCGGTTGAAGGCGGCGGAGTTGAAGATGCGAGATGTTTTGAAGAAGGCTGGCTTGAGGGGGCAGCTGTGCGTCATCGTTTTCCTCAGCGTCGTGTTGTTCGTTCTGTTTTACGTCGCATTCGCCGGGAGCTGAAATCAGCCACTTGGCTGTTTGTTCTACTTCTACGTCTACAATGTCCTACGGTACCTGTACGGTAGTAGCTACCTGTTGTTAACTAAATAAGCGCCTCGAACGCCTTGACACGTCGACGACGACCGACTTTCGACGTCTCATCCGCGTCATCCCAAAACCTTGACGGTGTCCCATCGTTTTTTACCCTCGCGTCGCACGGCGTCCTCCACCACGCGCTCGGCGTCCTCTAAATCGACGTCCACGAGCTCGTACCCCAATCGCTCCATCGCCCACCGCACGCGCGCGAACACCTCATCCCTACCGTACCCTCGTTCTCGCAATCGCGTCACGAACTCCCCGTGCGAGCGACCGCGCCTGTACTCGGGCGCGCGTTCCGGCGTCTTCAAAACCGACGCCATCGCGCGCGCGTCGTAGTCGTACAGAAACGACGTGTGATGCAAAAACCGCCCGCGCGTCATCGCCTGCGCGTTCCCCCCGAACTTCGCCTCCCCGAACACGTAATCGTTCTCCCGCGTCGCGAACGTTCCGCACCGATCGAACACCTCGCCGTACACCGCGTCGCCCGTCGCCCGCATCACGTCTCTCGGATACGCCCGCGTCGTCTCATCACCTCCCAGCACCAAGCTCCCACCGTTACGCATCACCATTCCAATCAGCAGCGTGTTCGCATCGCACAGCACCGTCCCACCGCCCGAGAACCGTCGCACGAGTCCGCATCGACGCCGCGTTCGTTCGTTTTCATCCACCAAGCGTTGGACATCGCTCGACGTCCCGAGCACCACCGTCTCTCGATCGACGCCGTCGACGAGCGTCAACCACTCCGATCGAGCGAGATCGACGTGTCGGAATAACCCCTCCTCCAGACGCAGCGCGCGGGCGACGCTCGCGCCGCGCGCGCGGACGACGTGGAGGATTCGTCGCGACATGGATTGGCGTCAAAACATCACGCGCGATGCGATCGACGACGGTGAAAACGCGCGACGACGTCGAAAATAAAGCCGCGCGCGCGTTAGAGGCCGCGCGGGCGTTTCTCGCGCGTTCGCCCGCGGGTCACGGGAAAAACTCGACGCCCAGAGAGCGAGAGACGGGGGAGAAGACGAACGGTTGGCGAATGAAAGAATCAGCCGCGGATGAGACATCGTCGACGACGACGGCGGTGACGACGACGACGACGGGAGGGACGGCGGAGCGAACGAGGGATGGAGTCGTCGAGGGTGTACCCGAGGCGAGAGACGAGAGTCCGTCGACGCGGACGCGGACGGAGACGAATCTCGTGGAGGCGTTCGAGGAGGCGGACGACGCGCGGACGCGCGCGGCGCCGGCGACGCCGGCGTCTCCGGCGCTCGAGCTGTCGTCGAGCGAAGACGAGGGCGCTGATGATGCGAGAGGTGCGTCGAATTCGGACGAGGGAGCGATGCGGGAGACGAGGGACGCGGACGCGGGCGTCGTCGCGGCGCTTCGAGCGGACGTGGCGCGACTGCACGAGGCGCTGGAGAGCGAGCGTTGGATGCGAGAGTCCTACGAGGCGCGCGTGCTCGAGGCGGAGAAGATCGCGGAGGAAGCGAAGGCGAAGACGATTGAAACCGCGCTGGATCCCGTGAATCAGTTGACGGCGGAGCAAGTGTCCGCGCTACGAGCGGAGATTGAACAGGTGGAGTATCTCAAGCGTTTGCTCGCGAGGGCAGAACAGATGCGCAACGCGGCGCGACAGGAGACGAAAACCGCTCGAGACAAGCACGAAAAGGATTTACGAATCATTCGCGAGGAAGTGACGACGATGGAGTCGGAGATGGAGAATTTGCGACGACGAGTGAAGGTTGACAAGGCAAAGTTTGAGGCGATGGAGCGCGCCACAGTGGAAGCCGCCGACGAGTTCGCCTTGCTCTTCTCGCGTCAGGAAAACACTAGACGGTTACTTGCCGGGGCGATTTTCGTCATAATTGCTCTCGCGACTCGCATCGTCATGAATGGACAAGGGTGGACGTTACCGAACATGTACATGTATTAATAAAAATACCAAAATCTGTTACAGCGTATCACTCTTGTCCGTTCTCTCAGCACACGGCACCGTAGCTCGACTCGCGGCCGTCGCGAAGCAAGCTCGATTTTACCGGGCGGGAACGAACAGCGACAACGATGCCCACGAACGCTGCGGCGAGCGCAAATACCACAGTTGGCGAGAAATCAAGTGCCGGGATGACGTTGAGACCGGCTGATCCCAGCGACGCAGAAGTCGATACGTGGTAATAATAGGTAGAGGCCGAACGCGATTTGAAGCGAGACTGTGTCGAGAAACCGCAGTTTCCATCATTAGCGTTGAAATCGAACGCCTTGCAATCGGCGCATGCATCGCACTTCGCGCCACATATTTGTTGAGCTGTAGCCGCCGTCGCTATGGCACATTTAGTCGAGCCATCATCACAACAGCGTGAATCGTAAGCCTTGACCCTCTTTGCCGATTTCTTGGCGTATGAACGCGCCGGAGGTTGACTCGCCGTGGGCGGCACCGAAGTGGGCGGTTGGTATGTCGTCGATGGCAACGAAGCGGGCGGCTCGCTCGGCGCGATCGGACAAACGCACGTCGGGCATTCTGTTGGCGGCGATACATCCTCGCGCTTGCAAGTGCCGCCACCCTCACACAGGGCAAAGATGTCCTGCGATAGGTAAGTACCCGAGCCGATCACTGTCTTGAGCATTGGCGCAAAGTTGTACAGACCCGTGCCTCTTTTACTCGTGCTGCAGTCAGAGTCTTCCTCGTCCTCAGCCGACGCCCCGAGTCGAGCGGAGGAGGAACTTGAGGCGCTCGCCGCCTCTCCAATCGGAATCGTCGCGAGCTGGATTTGAGAGTATAGTATCGATGTCTTTGGAATCTCGACGTAGCCACCCGCTCCAGCCAAGGAACCTGCGCATTTATTTTGGTTCGCCTTCGAGTACGAGAAAGTATCCGACCACGTGGGTATGAGCTCGCCGTAGCCCGACGCACAGTTCGCGAGTGCCCAAGCATCGACGCCGACGTAAGCGTCCTGCTTTGCGTCCAACCAAGGACCGGCACACATCGGACCGGCGCATAGCGCAGCGAACGCCTTTTCCAAATGCACGACGGCTCCAATCTGCATGGCGGCCTTTGCGGAACCAGTGAGAGTCCTCGAGACGCTCACCTGCGGTGTGCTCACCGAGAAACTTGGGTTTTTCGAGAGTTCGACGGCCATGGGCATTTCAACAGAGAATTCAACATCAAGAGCCGCTTGGGCGTCAAAGTTCAGGTAATATGGAAGCGCGAGCGACAAGTCATATTCAAGAACGGCGGATAAGCCTGGCAGCGGCAGCGGGACGACTTTGACGCCTGAAAATTGGTCAGACCAAAACTCGCCGTCCTTTGCGAGGGCCATGTGTGCGCTGACGGACGCGCTGCCAGACGCCTTCATACTCAACTCAGCCTTGACACTCGTTGTGTCCGACATCAACTTGATGGCTGCTTCCAAGTCGTCTAAAAAGTCGTCGAGTACCTCGTCGAATGCGTTCTTACCGAGAGAGGCTTCCCGTGAACCACCGGCGCGTGTGCGAGATCTCGTCGCGAAATCAGGCGAGTGGATAGTCTCTGAGAGCTTCACGAGCTCCCTGAGAACGATCGACTCGGCACTAGCCAATCGATTCTTGTAATCGGCGTGCGCCGCGAGGATTGTCATTTGTTCATCCGTGCTCAGCAAGCGTCGACGCGATGAGCTCGCAAAAAACTTACCGCTGCCCAGTTTCTTGATGTCAGCGACGACGTCCTTCAACCCAGACTCGTCGTAGAGCGCATCGAAGAACGCCTCAAACATATCGCCGAGCGCCTTGACGAGCTTTGTTGCGACTTGAGAGCTCACTTTGAACTCGTTGATCTGAGCGCATAAATCGAACTGGATGTCTGGTGGATCCACGGTGATTGCACCAGGCGACGCCGACACGTTCTCGAGAGCTTTTGGCCATTTCATAGGATACTCAATCTCTTCAGTACACATAACTGGAATTACGAAGCACCCTTGCCCGGTTGCCGCGCCCAAATTCGCGGCGAGTGATTGCGCCGAACGCGCCGGAGCTGCGAGGCCACGGAAAGCGGCATTCACACCCTCATGAATGTCGTCGAGAAGCTCCGTGCGGCGGTTTTCGCGCGCGGCACCGAGTGCTGACATACCGGATGATGATGTCGCCATCGTGTTCTTGATCGAGCTTTCGATGAGACTGACGAGTTCCGATGATGTCGTCGAAACTTCTCCCCAGACGTGCTCAAGAAGACCCCTGAGCGACGATTCGAGCGTGTCCGCGACCTTCTCCAAAGCGTCCTGAGCGTCTCTGATGTAGCCATTCAGGACGTCAGGTAACAGACCCACCTGAAGGACACCATCCACCGTCGTCTGCGCGGCCATGGTCGCGATGCTCGATACTGCAGTGATACTGTCTCGAATCTCTGTACAGACGCTGCTCGGCATCACGGCGCTGCATAGGTTGGCTACGTCGTTCAGGCTCTTGACGTTCTTCAGTTGCGTGATCTGTGAGATTGCGTCGACACTGTCTCGAATCTCTGTACAGACACTGCTCGGCATCAAGGAACTGCACATATCTGCCACGTCGTTCAGGCTCTTGACGTTCTTCAGTTGCGCGATGGCGTTGATGGCGTCATCGGCTTCACCAACGGCGTCGCAGACGGTGCTTGGAACGCCAACGGCTTTGCAAGGCGCCACCAAGCTATTGAGAGAGTCAACTTTTTTGAGGTCGTCCACGGCCGTGAGCGCCGTTGACATCTCGCAATAGCCCGGAATCGTGATGCACATCTTTTGACACTTATTTGGAACCTTGAATTTTGTCTTGGGCACCTTGATGCACTTCTTAAACTTTCTGCCTAAGATTCTTATCTTTGCGCACACTTTCGGAATCTTAATCTTGTACTCTGACTTGAGGCCCAGGTCGGCGGTGCAGACGTCGAAGCATTGCTGATCGCTGCCACTCCCGGAGCACGGTTGCGCGCTCACGCTCTTTGTTACAGTGCTCTCCACCGCTTCGCCATCCACGTCAGAGAGCGGAACGTCGGATGAATCCGCGTCCATGTCGTCAAAGTCGGAATCACTGAGGTAAAAGCTCGAGAACTGGTCCTTGTAGTCGTTGCTATCCACCATCTGTTCCTCCGGGAACTCTTGTAAAGCGAGCGACGTGATAGAGGCTTCGTCGGCGATCATACCCTCCTCCGTAAACTGCGCGCGCAACTGCGTCTTCACGTAGTCGATCACGCACGTCCTCAAATCAGCGTTCACCATGTTTGGATGAAGCGGATACGGCGCTCCGACGCTCCAATACGCGGTTTCATACGAACTAAAGTCAACCGCACTGCCGGACGGCACAGACGTCGTCGGGTACTTGCTCAAGCACCCGGAGTTGAACACGTATCTGTTCGCGTCGCACCACCCGTGATATTTCAACTCCCGCGGACAATCATCGTCCGACGTCGGGATCACGCAGTATTTGCTCGTCTCCGCGAGCATCTTACACATGTTCCTTTGGTTCTTATCAAACGTGTTCGAACCACCCCTCGTGCACGCGTCCGGATAACAATTCGTTCCCGTCGCCCACGCGCGCGCGCTCAACCCTCCCAGCGCCACCGCCGCGAGCGCGCACGCGAGGGCGATCACCATCGTCCCCCGTCCGTCGTTCCGTCGTCCACCGCGCCCACGCGCGCGCGCGCGCACCGACCAAGCCATCGCTCGATGCGATGCCGCGTCGCCCACGCGATGGTCCACGCCCGCGCGCCCCGGTCGCGGCCGTCGTCCACCGCGCGCGTCCGCGCGCGCGAGAGAGAGAGACGTCTTCGCGCGCGCCGTCGCCCCCGCGTCGGTCGCGATGTCGCGCGCGTCGTCCCGTCCTCGCCCTCCGGTCGTTCCGAACGCCCTCGGGTGTTGGCACCGTGGGGTGTTGGCGTCGCACGCGTGGTTTTCAGTTTTGATTGGTTCTCACAATGTGACACAGGTACGCGTCGTCGAGTCGTCGGTCGCCGCGCGACGCCCGACCGGACGCCGCGCGACGCGACGACGTCACGCGCCCACGGTTCCGCCTCTCGCGGAGTTCCCGAGGACGTCGTGTTTCCACGTCATCAGTCGCTCGATCGCGTCGTCGCTGAACGTCGTCGTCTCGGGCACGCGTTTGCGGAGCTCGGCGATTTCCTCCGAGTCGGCGCAGTAGCCCTCCTGCCGCGCGTGCGCGTCGCGAACCTTTCGCGAGAGCGCTTTGATCGCTCGAACGTCTTGTTCGTGGAAGTACTGCGATTCGTACGCCGCGTCGCGGGCGCGCATGTCGCTCTCGATGGACATCCACCGGGCGCCCGCGATGGGTGCCGATCGCGCCGCGACGCCGCGATGCGCGCGCGTGACCGCGGACGCGACGGCGAGCAGACGCCGGGGAGACATGGAAGACGGTCGACCGTGCGGTGTGGACTTTTCCAACGCGCGCGCGGGCGTGCGCGGCGAGGTGTGACGCGCGGGCGGCGTCGATCGATGGATGACGCGACGACCTTTAACGGTGCGGACGATGTGGGCGCGTGATGGTGGTGACTTGCAACGCGCGGCGTCACGGCGAGGCGACGCCCAGGGGCTGGACGTCCGCGATCGGGCCCTCGCGAATGAACGCGGCCCAGAAGTCGGGCATGAGCAAAGCGAGGATGTGGGGCTCGGTGTCGCGCTCGAGGGCGACCTCGAGGGTGAGGACGTCCTCGAGGAGCTTTTCGAGCGACTTGGACACCTTGGAAAACATCGGCGCGAGCGTCTGGGACGCGCGCGCGGCGTCGGCGGGGGAGAGCCAGAGGTGGTTGGTCAGCGCGGGGAGAGAACCACCTTGGGTACCTCTGAGGGACTCGAGCTGAGACGCGAGGACGCCGCGGAGCTTGCGAGCCTCGTCGAGGAGACGCGCGCACTCCTCGGCGTCGCCGTCCGCGCGGCAGGCGCGGCCGAATAATCCAGCCAGGAGATACTGCACCTGCTTCGTCCCGCGATCCTGGGCGAGTCGCTCCAAAATCCAATCCTTAATCAGCACCGCCTCGGAGGGACGCTGCCATAAAACATTCGTGAGCAAGATGGTGTCGAACTCGCTCACCTCGTCGCGGTTGTTCGTGTACGCGGCGACTCGGAGCAACTGCACAGCCTTGAGCAGGCGACGATCGGAAACGTAAACGGGCGGTTCGCACTTGTCCTGCAAGAAGGCTCGCAAATCGGTGATGAGTTCGATGACGTTCTGAGGCACCGTCACTTTAGCCGCGGCTTCGTGACGAATGTTGGAGAAATCCTCCGGCTTGAGCGTCACGGAGACGCTCGAATTCATGCCGCCGCGATCGCCCGCCTTGGAACCGATCGCGGCGTCACCGCTGAGCGCGAGAAGCTTGGACAACCCCCCTGATGACACTTGTTCCACGCTCGATCGCAATAAAAACCGATCGTACAGCGCGTCCAGCTCCTCGCTCTCTGGCAACTCGTTGGACGCCCCCACCATGCACAGCAGCGGGACGTCGATGCGTTCGCTCCCGTTATCGAACAACCGTTCGTTTAAAATCGTCAGCAGCGAGTTCAGGATCGCGCTGTTCGCCTTGAACACTTCGTCCACGAACGCCACGCTCGCCGTGGGGAGGTACCCATCGATTCTTCGCACGTACTCATCCCTCTCCAACCCCTTCATGCTCAGCGGCCCGAACAACTCCTCCGGCACGGAGAACCTCGTGAGCAAGCGTTCGAAATACGACCCACTCTCGCACAGAGCGGACAATCGTCTCCCCAGTTCGCTCTTCGCCGTCCCCGGCGGTCCGATGAGCAACAGATGCTCACCGCAGCACGCGGCTAAGAGCAACAGCCTCGTCTCCGTCTCTCGCTCCACCAACCCGTCGTTCATCGCCCGCGTCGCCTCCGCGATCTTCTTCGCCAACACCGCTCGAGACGCATCGACCCCTCTCGCTCCACCGTCGCCATCACCACGTCCAACCTTCGCCTCCGCGTCTTCGATCAGCTTCTTCGAGCGCTCTCGCACCGCCGTTCGCACCGCGTCCTCCTCCGCGCTGATGGCCGCGTCTTGCTCCCTCTGCCTCCGCTTCCACTCCGGTTCTTCACCCCCGGCGCGCGGCGCGACGCCCGATCGTCCGCGCGCGCGACGCCCATGACGCCTCCGCGCGTCGCGCACCGACCCCGCGTGCGGCGCGCGCGCGAACGACGTCGTCGTCGGCATCGATCCCATCGCGTCACGCACTGACGTCACCGTGACTCCTGTGGATAAACATCCCTCATCCGCCGTCACGGCGCGACGACGAGCGCGCGCGCGCGATGGCGTCGATGCGAACGACGATGCGAACGACGGCGACGACGGACGCGGGGTCGGGACGACGCACGCGGCGTGGACGCGGTGCGACGACGCGCGCGGAGGCGAAAGATGAAGATGAAGATGCGCGATGCGTCGCGGTGACGAGACGGCGCGCGCTGGCGCGCGCGCTGGGGGCGGTGATCGTCGTCGGCGCGCGAGGGGGCGAGCGGGCGCGCGCGGAGGGTGAGACGCGAGAGGTGGTGGTCGAGGCGGTGGTGAACGAGCGGTGGATCGCGGTCCCGGCGAAGTTTCGAGTGCCGTCGTCGTGGAGCAATCGACCGGGACAGCGGGCGAAGCGAGAGAAGTACGTGATGTACACCGATACGTACGGGCCGAATTATCGGTACACGACGTCTCTGCCAAAATTTTTGAACGACGGCGCCGCGGCGGCGGAGTCCGTGCAGTTGGTCGTGCAGTCAAAGGAGGGATTGGAATCGATCGAGGATCTGGGACCGCAGACGAAGATTGATCCGGCGCGCGCTTTTGGGATCGAGATCGACGGTCTCGTCGCGGCGGATGTGAAGAAATCAAACGTCAGGAGCGCAAAGGGGGGGCAGACGTACTACGAGTGGGAGCTAGATAACGGCGCCAAGTCGTTCCTGTTGTCCGCTTGCGTCTCCGGCGGTGGGTTGTACGCGTTCGTCGTGGAGGTAGATTCCACGCAGTTTGAAGCCAGTACGGGCGCGTACACGGCGGTACTCGAATCGCTGGATATTCCACGCGTAGAGGAGTCGCGAAACGACATGTCGAGTCGCATTTATGAGAACCGATAGAGACACGTGTCGCGTGCGATCGAGCTGTGATGTAACAAATGTCTAGACTTGTGTTGGTGATGCATCAGCGTCGTCGCGCTCGCGAGCGGACGCGATCGACGTGCGTAACATGGAGCGAGCGCGCTGAGCAACGTTCGCGTCGACGCCATCCGTCTTCCCATTCGCCGCCATGTCCAAGAGCTCGATTACGGTCTCCGCCTTGGCTACGTTTCGCCCAGCACCTACGTTCATCGCAGTTGCGCTCCCGACGTGCGTCGCGAGCGTCGCCGTCGTCGCTAAAGCCTCACTCAAATCGAGCGAGTCATCGGACTGCATGCGCAAATATCCGAGGACGTACGCCCCGGCGCTACTGTCGCCACATCCAACGGTATCGCCCACCTTCACTTTCGGACACCCGACTCGCGAACTCTTCCCATCGCGCGTTATCACCATCGCGCCTCGTGGACCCAATTTCACGACGACCCACTCCGCGGCGGAATTTGGGTAATCGAAGACGGCGGAAGCGTACGCCTCGGGAGACGAACCCACATCGAGACCCGTGAGCGCCGCGAGCTCTTCTTCCGTCGCGAGCACGACGTTTGCACTTGTAAGCGCGACCTCCAGTGCCTCCATGCGTGCGGGATTCGTGTCGTCGACGAACGTAAACGAGCGCGGTCCCGGATCGAAGAAGACACCCGCACCATTTGACTTGGCCAACTTGAGCGCCTGCGCCACCGCCTGTGGTTTGAGCTCGTCGAAGACGAATCCGTTCACGAACACTGCCTTGCACGACCGCAAAGCCTCGCGCGCATCGTTACTAACGTCGCCGACGTCGCGCATGAGCGGCCAAGGTCCCAAATCGTACCGACTACAAAACGCGTGACCGCCGTCACCGTCGCTCAGCACAAAACAAATCAGAGTCTCCGCCAGCGCGCTCACCTTGACCCCGGTGTCATCGTCCGGAACCAACTCGACGACATCCACCCCTTCCATCGTGAGCTCATCGATCAAGAATTGTCCGTACTGATCGTTTCCGACGTGCCCCGCGCACGTCGCTCGCAGCCCGAGTCTCGCCGCCGCGATTAAAAAGTTACAATTCCCCCCGAGTTCCCACGACTCTCGCGCCGGCGCCGTCTTCGCCAACTCATTCAGTGTTTTACTCGTCTTCAACGATCCCACCTCCGGGATCGGACCGGGCGGGAGCAGGACGTCCACGCACAGGTTTCCGAGCGCCACGACGTCGCACTCGTCCCCCCAGCGCGTCGCCAGTCTCGAAGCGCTAGCCCTCGAGCGCGCTCTCGTGCGCGATCGCGCGCACGCAAGCGAACCCGATCGCACGCGCTGTGCGTTCGAGCGCGTCGTCGCGTCGACGACGGTGGACGTCGCGCGAGAGGCGATCATGATGAAGCCAAAGATTTCACGAGTCGGTCGGCGAACCGATCTTTTCCCGTGGTTTCGGTGGATCGCGCGACCGTTTCTCGCGGGCGACGAAACCGTTGGCCGGGCAGAGGATGTCCCGAGGATTTCGGTGACGTCGGACGACGACGCGTGCGTCACCGAGATGTGAGCGCGAGCCTCGGCGAGAGGAGATATTTATTCTCTTGGGTGAAGCGTTAAATTTTCAAAGGGGTCATCTAGATGAGCGATCCGCCGGCGAACGGCGACATGGGGACGCCCGAGGATTGGGAGGTACCCTTGGTGCCGAGCCCGAGATTCGCGGTGAGGTCGGCGAGGTTGTCTGGTCCGCTCTGGGACGCGTGCGGTTGTCGCGCCTTAGTGGGCGAGGCTTGGCCAAAGCTGGCCAGTCCAAAAGGATCGGACGATTGCGCCACGGCGTTTTGACCGACGTGCGCAGACGCACCCATCGGGGGCGATAACCCGAAACCGAACTGGTTACCGACCGCTGGTTGAGGCGGCGGCGTCGCGCCGAACGCGCCGAATGGATCCGTCTGTTGCGACGGCGCCGCCGCGCGCTGCATCGCGGGTTGGACCGTGGGTTGCGCCGAGAACAAACCGTCTAATGCTCCCCACTGAGAACCCGACGACGCCGCCGATACCGCAGGGGCGACTGGCGCCGCTGGCATCGAAGATTCCCCGCCGAGATTTCCGAGCAGGTCATCGATGCTCGACGTCGCAGGCGTCGCCGTGGCTCCTCCGGCGGAGTAGTTCACCGCCGCAACCGCGGCGTTGGACGCACGCGGTGGTGGGGCAAACGATAACACCTCCGGAGAAGCGGCCGGAGGCGCTTGCACTGGAACATCTCTAAAAATAATTTGCGGCGTCGAGTTTGCCTGTTTCGGCGTCGCGGCTTTGTCCCCCAAATCCGCGCTCGCCTTCGCGGTGACCGCGGAGTGCGACGCGTGTGATGTCATCGATGGTGCCACTGGCGCGCGCTCCCAGTGCGATGAAGACCCACTTATCGCCTCGGTACGTCTCTCCGCCTCCCCGCGCGCGGTCGACGCCGGCTCCGACTCGCTCGCGCTCGCGCTTCGCGACCCCCCCCCGACTCGCGAATCCGTCGTCCACGACCCTCCGCTCGACTGATTCTTCATGTGTCTCGCGTCCGCGCTCGACATCCCGGCGTACTTCCCTCGATTCCTCGCCGCCTTTTCCCTCGCCTCTCGTATAGATTCCGGATCTTCAATCAAGCTCTTAATCTTCTCCGCCCGATGCCTGACGTTCACCCCCTCATCCTTTCCTCTCGCGTCTCGGTGTTCAAACCGCACTAAATCCTCCAAAACTCTCGACCGTCGCACGTCCTCGGGAATCCGTTCCGCACCGTTCGCGATCAAGTACTCCACGACGCTCAGCGCCTTGTACGTCTGCCTCCACTTCTCCCCCCTACACACCTCCATGCGCTCTCTCAAGACGTCCCACACCACGTCCCAGCGTCCATCGAGCGTGAGTCTCGCGATCGCGCGCAACTGTTCGCCGTGCGGTCCCCAGGGATCGGCGTTCGTCGCCTCTCGCACCAACGCCTCGTCGTCGCTCACGCCCTTCAATTGATTGATCTTCTTCCGCGTCGCCTCTCGCACGTCCTCCGGCACCGCGCGCGTGATCGCGCGCGTGATGTTCTTCAACATCGCCGCCGTCGCGCGCGCGCGGGCGACGTCGCGGCGACGCGCGGGGCGATCGCGTCGCGCGCGATCGACGCGCCGGGGTCGACGCCTAGGTTGACGCCGCACATGGCCTTTGACCACGTGGAATACGACACCGACGTCGTCCGAGACGTACATGGGCGATAGCGTCCTATACTATACGAACTGTACCCCGCGGGCGACGCGAATGGGCGCGCGCGCGCGCGTCGGCGCGACGACGCGACGCGACGCGACGCGTCGTCCGAGCGACGCGCGCGTGGACGATGGAAAATACAACGACGCCGTCGACCGCGGTCGCGATCGTGGGTGCGCGTGGACGCGGGAAGACGACCGTGTGTAATGGGCTGATTCGCGAGACGATGGCGCGTCTCGGACGCGACGACGACGACGGCGCGCGAGAGGCGCGCGGGGGGTTGGCGGCGCCCGTGCGCGAGGTGCGCGCGTGACATTGCATCGCGAGCGGCGAATGCGCGCGGATGCCGCGACGGATGCCGCGGATGACGAAATGTGTGCGATGCGATGACGCGCGCTGACGACGCGTGACTGTTCGCGCGCAGAGCGAGACGATTCGCGCGCGAAGCGACGGATCGAGGAAGGGAACGAGCGCGAGAGCGACCGAGGCGCGAGATTGGGTGGATCGACAGAGAGAGGAACACGCGGAGATGATGTCGAGCGACAGTGGGCGGCGGGCGCGGGAGCGGTGTTGGAGAGATCAGGAGGCGGACGACGCGCTGCCTCTCGGCGCCCCGAGCGGGTGCGCGATTTCAGTCGTCAAGGGCGAGGACGAGGATGAGGACGATGGAGATTTCGTCGCGCGCGTCATCGTGAGGTACAGAGAAGAGCACGAACTCGAGCGAGCGATGTTGGACGTCGTGCTCAGGCTTCACGACGTGGAGGCGTCCGCGAGTTTGTGCGCGGGGAGCACGCCGAGCAAGCGCGACGCCGATCGAGGAAACAGAGAAGACGCCGAGGCGATCGAGGAGCTCGCGAGTGTTCTCGGTGCGAGTCCAGAGGATGCGGCGGAGCAATTGCGTAGGTGCAACGAGCGCGGGGAGCCGTTCATTCCGATTCGTTTTCGAGAGTTACTCGGCTGCGAGCGCGTGTACGAGGTGCGATCGAAATCGCATCGCGCAGCACTCACGACGATTCGAATCTTCCTTCTGCGAGTCGCGACCGCGGGCCCATGGACTCATCATGGCGTCATTGACGGTCCAGTTATAGTCGAGCTTCCGCTAAAGTACGATGTGACGTTGATCGATACGCCTGGAATCGACGACTCAATCGTCGCTCGATCGCGGAAGCTTTTGCGCAATTCAATCGGCGCCGGCGCCGAGTACAAGATCGGCATGTTTGTATTCATCTCAGACAATCTGCCGCCCAAAGAGGCGATTTGGAGCGCATTGAAAGAGATCGGGACGCTGGACAAGATCTTCACGGAGGGATGCCGCTTGTGTCTGTGCTGGCCTGTTGAGCGACTGATCGAATCTCGTCGGCCAGACGGATTCGTGACGAATTTACAAATAAAAAATTTCACCAACCGCACGCTGAAAACACTGAATATGGATCGAAATCACTGGTTAAAGCGATTCGATACGTTTTCGAAGGAATCGAAACTTCATCTATGGGGAGGCTTACTGCTAGGTATGTCACTCGCATTCGTCCGAACGTTAGAAAAGAACAGTCCTCTCGATTCGCGAGGCGCGAACAAGGACGATGAGCAGTACTCCATGTATCGCCTCGCGTACGCCGTAAAGAGGCAAGTGAATCCTCCACCAAACGATGAGAACAGTAATGGCCTAATAAAGCCAGAACCGATATATGCGAGGCCCGATTCTGAGCTGGAACCTCGCAACGTAGAGCCGGCGACTAAGGCGAAAGCGATGTCGGAAGCGCCGCTACCGCGAGAGATATCGTCGCCCAAGCTCGTGACGCGGCCGAAGAAGCGTCCTCGTGAATGTACTATTGCCGACCCGTTCGCTTTCACTGAAAACGACGGCGCAGATTATCCAGAAGACGCCGAAACGCCGCCGCTCTTTGATAAGCCCGCCGCCAAAACGGCTTCACGGGCTCCGCTCAGGAATGCTGCCAACGCGCCTTCACGCACGACAGGAACAGCCAAGCGCGCGAAGAAGCAAGAGAAGAGCGTTCCGAAAGCACCGCTTACCCTTCGCACCGTCCAAGCATCGACAAAACCCTCGCCAGATCTCTCGGCGACGGCTTCGTCAAAGCCGGTTCCGAGCGCGCCTCAACCGTCGCCCGACGACGACAAGTCCTCGCCGGTACGGGCGCGTCGCCTTCGCCAACGCTCCGAGCTTCAGTCCCCGTGGTGGGAGGTGAAAACGTTCACCTGGGAGGGCTCCAAACGCGTCCAGAGATGACTCCCGACTAGTATATACGTCCCATGCAACGCTTCGCCGTATCCACCGCTCGGCGCTGAGTCACGAGCCTACTCAGCGCGACGTGGCGTCTTTGTCAGCACTCGCGCACGCGCGCGCTCGACCACCCGCGCGCGACGCACGCGTTCGAGTGAGCGACTTGGCCACGATCCGCCCGTTCTCTCTCGCTCTCGGGGAACGAACGACGTGCACTGCATCGGACGACGACGATTTCGAGAGGATCAACCACCAAAGCGCTCGAGCGGGATTATTGAACGATCGTCCCACTCGCGGCGTCATGTCGCGGAGATCGGGCGCGGAGGACGAACGGGCGGTGAAAGTACCATCCCGGGGCACCGCAACGCGCGTTCGCGACGCGAGAGCGACGCTGGAAAACGCTTTCGGGGAGTGCGAGGGACGGGCGCGGGCGAGACGGGCGAGAAACGCGGCGAGAGGCGACGACGGAGACGATCGAGTGCTGAGAGATCTGGAGGTGGTGATGGAATTAATCGAAAAAATGCGAGCGATGCGCGATGATGGCTTGGTGCGAGCGGCGTTGACGTTGATGGATGGGTTGAAGGCGGCGCTGCGGATGTCGAGGGAGAGCGAAGACGAGGCTCGGAGAGAGGTGTGCGTCGCCGCGTTGTTCGGATTGAGCAGGCTTGCGACTGCGGAGAGGGAGGAGATGATACGCGCTGGACTCGATGGATTGGATGGAGACGGGTTGTTGGAGACGTTGAGGGTACATTGTAAGGCGCCTGGTCTGTCTTTTGAAGAACGCATGCAAAGCTTGAAGAACTATGTGGAGACCGTGGGGAAATCCTCACGCAGGCCTCCGGCGTTAGACATCCACGAGAGCTCTTCGTCGGATTCGGAGCGGAAGGGGAAGAAAGTCGTCGGTGGTTTAGCGCGAGCGTTCGCTTCGCGGGGACATTTAGGGGAAGATGTGTGCACGCCTGAGATGAGCGACGACGAAGCGGAGGTTGAGCGTGGTAACCAACTTCGAGCGTTGGGCTCACTGTGTGCATCGCCGAGTAAAATTTTCTACGCGCCAGAGATTTTGAGCGGAAAGGGTGCAAGCGTGGATGATACTCGTGCTGCTCCCGTGGGGGATGTGATTTGTAGAATTTGCGAGCAGCCGATTCCGGCTGCGCAGCTGTCGGAGCACACCACAACGTGCGCTGGATACCGTCCGTCGCCGTCATCGTACGATTCGAGTGAATTCGCTTCTCCACGCATTTCAGGCACTATTCCATCTCCAGGCGCCGCCGATGAAACCTCTGATCAAGTGTCGATAGATGATTTCCGAATTATAAAACTTATAAGTGGTGGGGCGTACGGGAGAGTGTTTCTCGCGCAAAAGCGCACCACTCGCGATTTGTTCGCGGTAAAAGCAATGCGTAAGGACGATCTCGTCTACAAGAATATGATAGACCAAGTCGTTGCCGAGCGTGATGCTCTCATTAAGGCTGCGAATCCTTTCACGATCAAGCTGTACTACTCGTTCACGTCTGCGAGGCACGTATACCTCGTCACCGAATATGCAAATGGCGGTGATTTGTACAGTCTTCTCAAGCAACTAGGGCGTTTAAGCGAAGACCACGCGCGCCAATACTGCGCCGAGATAACACTTGCACTAGAGTACGTCCACTCAAAGGGAATCACGCACAGAGATTTGAAACCTGGGAACTGTCTCATCGCCTCAGACGGGCACGTGAAGCTCGCTGATTTTGGTTTGTCAAGAATGGATCGAGACATTGATTACAACTCGAGCGGTGGTGAGTACTCTCCAGACGTATTCGATGGGGGATCGCCCGTGTCTCACAGTAGTGCGAGTATGACGATTAAAGTCCCTGGGACGCGAGAACAGCTCCACACGAGCAGTCCGATTCATAGGATGACTCTATTGGCGAGCACGAGTAAAAGCCCGCAACAAAGCCCGGCAAGAAAAGTTCATTCGCGCTCCTCTGCGTCGTGGCACGGCTCTGGAGCTAAAGGGACTCCCGACTATTTGGCTCCAGAAATATTACTCTGCGAGCCATGCGGTGCTGGCGTCGACTGGTGGGCTCTGGGCGTGATGGCGTATGAACTAGTTGTGGGAACGCCCCCGTTCAACGCGTCAACGCCTCTGGCAATTTTTTCTAAAGTCATCGATGGAAATATTGAGTGGCCGAACGGCGAGTGCGAGTTCAGTGAGGCTTATGCACATTTTGTGGAGAGTTTACTAGTTCATGACGTCGAGGCGAGGCTGGGTGCGAGGAGTGCGGACGACGTAAAGGCTCACGAGTGGTTCAGAACGATTGAATGGGATCGAGTGTACGACGGGACCGCTGCCAGCGTGTTCGTACCCAAGCCTGTCGATTTGCAGGACACCTCCTACTTCATTCCTGCTTCTGATATGAGACAAGAATATCCCACTGGGCGAGCGCGAAGAATGAGTGAGTCGTCTCGAAGGACGGAGCGAGCTTCGGCAAGCGCAGAGAGCACGAGCACGAATCGCGAGGACACCTTTCTAGAACCCACACAAGGCGAGATGGACGATTCGGAGGACGATGAGGACATGGCCATGCGCGCATTCACTTATAGAAACCTCGCTGAGCTAGCATTACGTAACGTCGACATGTCCACACCTTCGGCCCCTATGGGACTCCCTCGTCGCGGGAGCGTTGGGAAGGACTTATCGAATGTGGAGTAGACGGATTCGCTCACTGGACCTGTCACAGATTGTGATCACAATATCAAACTCTAGCTAGTTCTAGTGCCCCGTCGAAATAGTACGCGCGGCGGCCTTCCGTGCGTGACGATGACTCCATCGGGCTCGCGAGTCTCCATTTCGAAACCTATTTTTTCATACAGAGCGATGGCGCGAGAGTTCGACGCCTCCGCGTGAACGTAGACCGTCTCGACTCCGAACTCATCGCGAGCGACGTCGAGCGCGCGGTTTATCATCCCAAATGCAATACCACGTCGTCGTACGGGCGGTAAGACGCTGACGTTCGATAGATACGCCCGCTTTCCCGGTGAGAGAGCGCCCGCCAGCTCCTCTGCGGGCAATCGCTCTCCAACGTTCAGGTCAAGAGAACCGGCGACGATGGACATCACGAAACCCTCCCGCGAGCTCATGCACCGCGGATCGAGCGATCGAGCGTCAAACCACATCGGTATCTCCCCATTCTGTCCTATTTCCCGTCGAGCGACGATCAGCGACGTCACGACGCTCTCGTACCCGACTTCGCACGCCCCCAGGAGCCTCAATTTTTTCATCAGCGACTCGCTCTCGGCCTCCGTCTTCATCGCCACTTTGGCTCGACGGGCAAAGTCAGAGCGATCGGCGTACGCACCCGATGACGCGAACGCGATCGATCGACACGCTGCAGCGGCGAAGATGTCGTCGGAGTGCGTCGTCTGCTCAAAGGTGAAGACTTCATCGCGCGCGGAACGCGAGGACGAAGACGCGCGCGGGACTGAGGTCGAGCATCGAGGCCCCGAAGACGCACGAGAACGACCATCGCGATGGTTTCGGGGAAACGTGCGCGCGTCGAGCGCGGCGGACATCGCGCGCCAAAGTGGAGAACTACGCGTGCGTATGGAACAACTGTTTTTCACAAAGACAAAGCGACGCGAGACTAGCTTCTCGGACGTTCCCAGGACGTTTCGCCGGTTTTCGAGTTGTAGTAGTACGGCTTTCCTTCTGGGGTGTGATAAGTCGTCCAATCGTCCACTTGGGATTGGGAGTAGGAAGATGTCGGATAGCTGTAGTCACTCGAAACCGGAGCAGCCGGTGGAGCGGCGAAGCTCGCAGAGCCGGCGGCGGAAGACGGGTGAGCAAAGGGCAGTGGCGGTAAAGTGACGTACGATGCCCCCGATGAGGGCGTTTGTGACTGTGCCTTGGGCGCGGCGGGCGTGGCGGAGGCGTAGCCCTGGAATTCAATCTGAATGTTTGACGGTTCTGCGAACTGCTGAGCGGGAGTTGGTACCGGCGCGGGCGAGTGATGCGCAGGCGTCGGCGTCGTCACCTGCGCGTATCCCTGGCGCAATAGCTCCGCCGCGGGCGAGGATCCAGTAGAGAGCACCGTGCTTCGTTCACGCATGCCCTTTTGGAGCGCCTCGATCCACTGCGTGCGTTCGCGCTCGGAATCGGCGACAAGATATCGAGTGCCAAGTTTCGCAGGAAGCGCCCCGTCGACAAGAATCGCGAAACGTCTTCCGGCGGCAGCTTCTGAGGCGATAGAGACATTGTCTATCGTGCTCAAAGGAATCTGTCCTCGCGTGACCGCGCGAGCGTCCACGATGTTTGTCTTGTACCATACCAGATACCCATCCTTCAACACGAACCAACGCTTGCGCCACGTCTTCAACATCTCCCCTTGCTTTGTAAGCCAACCGGAATACTCGGGAGAATCCCAGAACTGAATACCCACGACGGATACGGACGACAAAGGCGACATTGCGGCCATCCCGCCGTTCGTCGTGCCTGCCCTGAGGTTCTTCCACTCGGTTCCCGTGGACACGATAGTATCCATCGCGTCCAATCCGTTGAGCTCGCACCATTGAAACGCCGACGTCGTCAGGACGTCCACCATGGCCGAGATCGTCTCCACATCCGCACTGAGCGACAACACTACCTCTCCGCCGCCATCTTTCACATGAACGGTGAGAATCGTGGGATCCTTGAGCGACCACGCGGACACATTTGGCAAGTCGAACGCTCGTCTTGCAACCGTTTGGTCCCCCACCGCGAACGTCTTCACCCCATCCAGACCGACCTGAACGACGACGTCTTCGATATCATCGCCATCTCCCGTCGGCAGCGACATCGCTCGATACCTCGCGTTCCCGCTCGGCGCTCCGGAGACTTCGCTCGCGCGTCCCGCGTCTCGCCTACCGCCGTCTCTCGGCGCGTTACCTCCGCCTTGCCCATCGTACGCTCCCGCGATCGCGCTCGGCGCGGGTTGCCCGTACGATACCGCGTGATACGACGTCGTTGGGTACCGCACCGGCGTCGTCGCGTGCGGATCGTCGCGGTACGGGTCCATGTCTCTGAGATTTCAGGACGAACGAGAATTCACTCGTGTGACGTCACGCTCGCGGTCCTGCTCGCGTTGACGACGCACGGAAGCGCGACGAGGGCGTCGATGAGAGACGTTTCAACCGAGTGGTCGACGCGCGGAGGCGAGTGGTCTGGCGAGACGAGAAGATGCCCGTCGATGAGTGCAGATGCGTGGGCACCGATGGCGCGGTAGTTGGCGAGAGCGACAAAAGAGGACGTCTTCTCTTATCTTGGTTAATGTTGTTACTGCATACACCCTTCAGTGGTGTGAATCGTAGGTACACGAGATGCTTCTTCGCGCTATCTTCAAAAATTCAAAAGTTTCATCATGGTACACTGCGCTCGAGCGAGCGCGGGAGCGGACTAGTTCCGCTTCGGACAAGCAATAAGCCACATCTCAATGTGAATGTGCGTCCAAAAACGTTTGAGACGACTACTCACGCACATCGGGCGTCTTAAGCGGAATCGGTGAAGTGAACGTCGCTCGGAAAGAGCCGTCCTTGGAGACTTCATGAGCCCAACCGCCCAAGCCGATGGTCCTCGCATCCTGCGGACTCTTAAATTCACGGCTGCCGGCGCTGTTCCCGCTATCTTCGTTGAATAGGGGTACGGCCGCCTTGCCGATCGAGCGAATACTATACTTTCCTGGACCAGCACGCAAACCGGGTGTGATCGGAGACATGAAACCGCTCGGACGGAGCGGAGAAAGCTGCGGACGGAGCGGTGACATGTAACCGGCGCCCCGAAGAGGAGACAGCGCACTCTGCGGGAGTGAGCTGGTAGAGAAGAAGGGCGAGAGTTGAACGCCCTCGGACAGCAAGAGCGTACGCAGAGGCGACTGTTCCACGGACTTGTTCAGGGCGGAGTACTCGCTCGACAAGTCGTCGGCGTGTGAGAAAGACCGCGGCGGCGAGCCAAACTTATCGAACACTTTGAAGTCTTCGATGACGAGATCGTCCTGAATAGACCTTGCGGCTAGCTCAGACGCGACTTCGATCGGAGTTTTGGCCAATCTACCAGCCTTCGTCTTCTGAGTCGACGCCTTGCCGTTCTTTGCGGACCCGCCTCGCGGACCAGAGCTGGGAGGAGCGTCCTCCTTGTTCATGCACCCCTCACACTTGCAGTACTCTTGGCACTTTACACCCGCTTGAAAGCACTCGCAATACTTCTTCAAACACGCACTCTTTTTGCAGTGGCAACCCTTCGTGTGACGAGCGTCGTCGCCGTCGTCTTCGATCTTGCTCAAGAATGCGTTCGGGTTTCGAGCCTCGATCTGACTTCTTGTCTTCTCCACGACTGAAACATTCTCAACGGTGTTTTGGCACTGCTGACAAGAGCAATCATTGCAGAACGCACCCGCCGCGAAGCATTCGCAGTACAACTTGAGACACTTGCTTTTTTTGCAGTTGCATTTCTTGCTCTCAACTGGTTCACGGCAAGCAGACGAATTCTTGGAATGCTGCGCAGAGATCTTGGTCGCCGAACCGCCTTGCTTGGCGTTCGCCTGAGCATTTTTAACCGCCGGAGTGTACTCCTCAAACGCGGTGCGTGACGGTGGAACGACCGTGCGACGCGCGCTGCGAGTACCCACACGCGGAGAGTCGACGTCGAAGTTCTTCAGAGTCTTTGTGAAACCCGCGGTCCACTCGGTACTGGCGCCCGTGGTGCTGGAACGCTTGCCGTTCAGATCCTCTCGCGTGCCAGCGGTTCGCGGTTGAGACCCACGCTCGTCGACACCGAGGACGGAATCGTCGAATTCATCGTACATATTTTGTAACACATAGCGATCATCTTCGAGTGACTGCATACCAAGAGCACTGAACTCATTATCGAGCTGAGTCGGACATGGAACGGACGCGCGATCGTCAGTCGTCTTGAAGCTCGATTTTCTTCGCCGCGGTTCACATCCACTCATCCAAACGCGCGTCGTCGCGCGCGCGCGATCGAGCCACGTAGATCTATCGTCATGAATCGATGCACTCACCTGTCTCCGCACATCCGACGCGCGTCTTCCACCAGAGACGTCCGAGCCTCGCTTTATCGACGCCTCGGCCGAGAGCGCCAGGCGCTCGATATCCGACATCCCGACGCCTCCCTTGTTCGATGTGTCACCGTCGTTCGACGCGTCACCGCTGCGATTCGCGCCACCGAGTCACACGCGCGCGCGTCAGTCATCCTTCACGTCACGCGGTCCATCGTCGCGCGTAGATTCTCCCTCGCCGACGCCCTCCGCCCGCCTCTCCTGGGAGCCGACGAGGCGCCAATCGCCTCGAGCGTTTCCCTCGCCCCCCCTGCCGCGTCGCTCGCGCGTTCGCCGTCGTACCTCGCGCGATGCGCGGGCGAATTAAACCTCGCCGGTCCCGGCGACGCCATCCCGCGCGCGCTGTCGTCGTACCCCGGCGCCGGCGACGCCATCCCGCGCGCGCCTCCCCGCGCGCACGCGATGGGGCTCAGGCTCTGCGCACAGAAATTGAAGAACCCCGGCGAGCCCAAGAGGGCGATCATCTGCGCGATCGGTCGAGCGACGTCGTCAGTGATTTACGTTCCATCGTCCCCACCGCTCGCGCGCGTCCACGCCCTCGCGCGCGCGTCGTCGAGCGCCCGCGATCGCCGCTCGCGAAAAGCGCGGGAAAGCGCGCGCGCCGATGTCGTCGCCCCCGATCGCGCGCGTCGTCGCGCGCGTACGTCGTCTTCCCCGTGCGCGCGCGGTGCCCGTTCGGGGGTTTTACACGGATCATTCTCCCGCCCAGACGCCGCGGTGGAGGCCCGTCGGGCGGCGCGCGCGGCGCGAGACGACCCCATGGGACGTCCGCGTGTGCGGCGACGGGCGACGCGGGGCGCGAGGTCCAGGGGCGCGAATCGGCGACTGGTGGCGTGCGACGAGTCAGCACTCGTGCGTGACCCCCATTCGAGGCGCATCTCGAGCGCGCGATCGATTTCTCGCGGCGCAGCTGTCGATTGGGCGTTTGAAATTCGGACCGATGGACGATGCGAGCGTGGATGTCTCACGCGGCGGACGGCGACTACGGACGCGGGCGGGACGCGTCGAGCGCGATTCTAGTGGTTCTAGCGGTTTCGAGACGCCGGACGACGGGCGCGGACGACTCTGCGCGCGCCGGGGGCGGCGGTGGACGGGGGGGCGGCGGTGAAGCCGGCGAAGGGGTTTGCGGCGGGCGCGGCGGCGGGCGGCGCGGCGGCGGAGAACGGATTCGGCGTCGCCGCGGCGGACGCCGGTGTGGCGCCGAAACTGAACGCGGGTGCGGACGTCGCCGACGTGAGTGGTTTACCGTTCGAATCGGTCGTCCCGGATGACGGCTTGTCGAGCGCCCGGGCGTCCGTCGTCGTCGATTTGACGGCGCCGAACGTAAACGTCCCGGACGCAGCCTTCGATTCGGTCGCCGTCTGGGCGCTCGCACCGAACGTGAACGGACTCGACGTCGAGGGGGCGACGAGTGCCGGCACCTTCGTCGCCTCTAATCGCTCGCGCTCGGCCTTATCCTCCGGGAGCTCGGAGAACTCAACCGCGGAGCGCGCGTCGAGACCTCTTCGCGGACCGCGAAGAGATAACCCTCTACGCGGTGGTTTCCGCGTCATCGCCCTCAACGTCACCCGCGATGGCATTTTCGGTAAATTCTTAAACGCATCCACGCTCCCCTGTCGCAACACGCGCCCAAAAGCGAGCGTCGGCGTCGCCCGAGCGTCCGACGCGCGCTCGATGACCCGCGCGCTCGCCTCGAACCGCGTCTCCTCCGCGTCTCCTCCCATCCGTCGACGATGCGTCGCCCGCGCCTCGCTCGCGTCATCCTCGGCATCACTTCGACGCTTACGCTTCGAACTCGGCCACGGCGCGTCGTTCCCCTCCACATCACCGCTCTCGATCGTTCGTTGCGTCACGGAGACGTCGAGCGCCGAGTTCCCGCGCGCGCGCTTCGTTTCCCCACCCGCGATCGACGGCGACGCGCGCCCGCTCGACGGCTCCACGCGCGCGCGCTTCAATCCCACCGCCCGAGCCGCGCTCAGGGGAACCTCCAGAACCTTACGCGCGAGCTCGGAGACCTTTGGACTCGACGCTCGAGCGAACGAGGTGGAC